TATAAAAGAGCTGTTGATAATGGGATAGAAAAGGTATCAACCAGTAGATTTTTATAAATATTGAAAAAGTTCGAACCTCATATTCAGCTCGATATAGGCTCCCGCACTACCACTCTGCACTTTTCCAAATGGACTTGTAGTACGCACGTTCTACTTTATAGCCTTCACGCAACTGCAGAAGCATCGAGCAAAAGTGCCCGAGATTAGCGCAAAAGTTCAACCAAATAATGGATAGGTTTCCACAGTAGCCGGTAAAGGCATTTATTCTATCGCTTAAATGTTTCTTTTCACGAGTCATTCTCTAGCTTAGCCTAAAACTTCCTGTTGCAGCACAGAAGTAAAATTGCTATGCTAATGCGTACCTAATCAGTGGCTTTGGAACTCTCTCTTCAGCTACTTTTTCACATAAGCCTGCTGGTTCTTGAGATCATAAATACTACTTTTAACTTTAAATCTCGCCAAAAATTTACGATTTTTTGCCCTTTGAATTTTTTTTTGGAATAAGAAAAACTGTTTCATCTTTGAAACTTATACACATCTTTAGTTGGTCGTGGCAAGCTAGATGTAGAAATCTATTACCGTCTCCTTTTTTTCGCAAAGATGTATACTCACAGGTCATCAAGCGATGCAAAAAATGATTGTTGTCGAAGATAGAAGAATTTTACATATGTATTTGTAATAAATCCTCATTCATTTATTGGACTCCCACGCAATTCCAAGTTTCAGAGTTGTTAACGGTTATGGTAGATTTTTTTTTTATAGCTAAATATAGGTTGCCCTATTCTATGTTATTGTTGTTTAATAACCCACAGGTCCTCAGGCAAACAGGCAAACGGATTAACCGAATGTACTTCTATAGTGGTTTGAAGAATTTACTTGACTTCTTTATTACCTACGGTACATTGGTAACATAGTGCAACTAATTGCGATATTGTTAGCTAGGGATACACTCTTTTCATATGAGGCTGTGACAGGTATCTAAGTAAATTAATTCATGGTTAGATAAGTTAGAAATATCATACTTGCCCTAGAAAGATGCTGCCGTTGTTTATATGACTATTTACCTCGATTTATCTCTATTTCGGTTCCTATCAGGCAACGTTGTAGAATTTCTACTGTTCCTGTCTCTTGAATCTGTATCCCGTTCGGATCTCCGTGAATCCTTTTCGCGTTCCCTTTCGCGATCTTTGGCTAAATCTCGGGCATCTTTGTCCTTTTCTCTGATCCTCTGATCGCCTTCCTTTCGGGTTTCAGGGCTTCGGCGACGCGGACGTTCAGGCGAACGGCGCCTTTCTGGCCGATAGTCGGCGTAAGTTGACATATATTTATTTCCTAAAGTTTTCCAATGACAAGAAAAATATTTTGCTTTTTAATACATTGCACATATTGTCAGTGCCTTCATAAGCGTCGTTATATTCTATATTGTTAGGTTTTTAAGATGTAAGGTGTTTTAAACAAATCATTTATGAAAATCAGGGTTAATACGTGAACCTAGAACACAAGTTAATCTTTTTATTTTATATATAACGAATTTATACTTAAATATAAGCAGTCCGTTTTCAATAAGAAAGGTTTTGAAACTCAAGATTTCTCTGCCCTGCGTATCTTGAATTAATGGGTCAAAGGCTTAAAAAAAATTACAAAGCGCGCACCACGTACTCTGTTCATGAAGTTCGAGATTGTAGATCTGGTAAACGAAAACAATTTATACTCTCAAGTAAAAATGCGTGGTAAAAATTGTTCGTTAAGCTGCACGGATTTTTTTCAATGTCTGCAACATCCTTAATAATTTGTACAATATGTGACCTCGGATATTGGCAAAGGCGGGAAGCCGCTAAGTGTTTACACCTAAAACTAAGATCTACCCTTATCTACTTAACTGCACGCCCCACAACTTAAGGTTAATGATATTAGATTTTTGTTATTAGCATGAATACAGCATACAAAAATGAATGTAATATATTTCCTTAACAGTGGTCAGTTACCATTTTCGTGCGTATTAATTTAAAGCAAGTATAGAAATAGACAAAACATAACAGATAAGTATGTTCGTGAATTTCTAGAATCCTATTAGGGGAATTTGAAGTATTCGAAATAGCGTAAATTACACCGGCATTTAATGTACCGAAGCGAGAAAATCAGAAATCAAGTAACTTACTTTATTACACACCAATTCTAGGCAAATGGGTCTTCACAAGATGAGCACCTTGTTACTAGGTTATGTTTAGCATATATTTATTTAATCCTTGTTTTCCACATGAGCCAAGCGTTCAGTCCATGTACTCACACTAAAACAAAATACACTTTTTAATTTTTTGCACAATGAAATAAACCATGGAGATGAAAAGTTGGTGTAGAACGACAACACTTGTTTGGGTCTACATGTAGAACAGAAACCATTTTGTTCAAGTTACACTTCATAGCCTTTATTATGGAGCTTATTAATCGACGGGATGTTCCGACAAATATAAAAATCGAAACTAAACAACTCTTGATCCGACTCTCCTTTAATGATTATTCACCGACGCGCTAAAAATTGAAACTAGCTTGAGGGAAGTCCTATTCTTCTCGAAGTCACTTGCCTTGTCGCGCTACAATGAATCATTATCTACTGGATGACTATCAGTCATCTATAAGCTTATTTTAAGATAATCGTAACGAATGGACTAAGAGCTATAAAAACCAATTAAGTATACAAACATTACGAATTCATATATGAAACATTATGAATGGCGAGGCGCAGGGGCCGCTGCTTCAAGTCTGCTAACGACACATTTTACATAACCTGTGTGAATAAAGAAAATATTTAAAACATATCTCGGCAGTTGACATTGTTTGTTAAGGCACATTATTCCTAAATGTATAGTCACATTGCGATAAGAGCGACTGTTTAATATCGTACGCATTTATCAGTAGCTGTTTAAACAAGTACCACACATCATTAAAAATTATATTTTTTGCTTGAAAAGGTAGTCTTCAAGCATGTTCATATTTTTTTTAATTGTGAAACAAATTAAATTTTTTATTGTTCTCATATTAAATAGTTCTTTTGAGACAAAATAATTAGCTACAAGCAGACGACACTGCTATGCAAATAGTCCGTTTGTTTATACGATAACGTCTCGTTTTTTCAACTATTTTCCATTGACAGCGGATGAGTGAAATCAGTTGCATGTTCCTTTACAGTAAAAAGAGGTGGACCAATCCAGTTGCCTAAGAAAGGCGTTCTAAATAGACTTGAACTTAAGTATATCTGGTGACTTGCATATGTCGGAATTTATTCGATGTTCCTTTTGTACAGTTGTCCTTGTCAGTGCTATTAACTTACCTTAAACAAACCTTAAAAATAATATTTGTTAGGTCACTTGAACGGCTCTGCGTGCTATTGGTTATCACACATGGGTGATTTGTATGGTCGCGACCTTTCGGTTGTTTTATCATAAGTCTTTTCTGTCTGATATAATTAATATGCTGTGGATAGTACCTTGCATTCAGTGGAACCAGTAAATTTTGAAAGAAATAAACATGATTTTGTGACGAATTTCATCATTAATCAAAAATGAAAATCGAAGGTGGTCCTGAACGTAAAGCTTGAGCGTGCTAAATGTAGCATTTCAAGATATACAACACAACTGCTTATTAAATAGTTTGCTGGACTCTGAAGCCTCAGTTCACCCTTGAAGCCAGTTTTCCATGACTGTAGCGTGAAGCTGTTTCAAAGAAATTCGAGGATTTGGTGTGCAGCCTCTAGGTACTGGGTCAAAACTTAAGCTCAAAAGACAAATTTATAAAAAACCTATGATGACCTATAAAAGAAAAATGTTTCATTTAAAACTTTTTAAAAATAGCAGATTAGATTGTGGCCTCGGGAGACATCAGCGATTCTGCTTTTCATTAGAATACCTTCTTAACTATTGATTTTGTACATACAGACATGCTGTTTGTTGTTTGTAATTAGTGATGAGCACATTCGCGTTGTGTTATTCAAATCAGACTGACAAGCGGTGAAAACTAAAAGTTGTCTCTGGTATCCGATATGAGCTCGCAAAAGAGTAAACGAGCTGTCGTAGAAGCGGGGGAGGCTTCAGAAAGCGACGAAGGAGAAAGTGAGCTATGTCGGGCCAAATTTCAAGCATCTGTTGTTACATTCGCAGCACCTGGGAGTATTGCTATCTCTGGACTTAATAGACAAGGTGAGCGATCATTAACATTAGATTAGTAGAAACAGAAAATTATGTAACCATTAGTATAGCTATGATCCAAAGAAGAAAATCGTACTGTCAGACCGCTTTCGCTCATGAATGCATAAACGAAAATTTGCATTCTGGTCCGTGTTACACATACAGGTTTTCTATTTGCTCATCTTCAGTCTATTGTCGCGTATCGCACCGATGCAACTCTGTTACATCGTCTTATTATGAATTGATATCTCTATTTCCAGGAACATCAATTGAGACGTGCTCCGTTTCATCCCTTACGCAAGCCTCAGGCTCTATAACTGCTATTTCACAGGTTGGAAGCTTTAAGAACTACATTTAAGGTGTAGCGCAATACAAATATAATTATTATCGCCCCGTAAGCAATATTAGGAAGGAATTAAAAAATGGTTGCTGCAAGTAAACACACTGTTCCTCAAATCTTTGTTCAAGAAAATAGCATTCACATAAAATGTTTGAAAATTTGTTGCTGTAGGGTGAACCAAGTTTTTACCAGAAGCAGCTTTCGTATAAGTAATGTGTCAAGGTTAGCTATTGGTCGTTTTATATGCCCCCTGTAAATTTTTTTTCAAGTCATTTTAATGAAAATAGGGCTGCATTGGTTATGGCGATTGGCGAACGCGATAACAAAACTAATAACTGGACTTGGTTGTCCTTAAAGCGCTTGTAATCGAATGGTGTTCCTTCCAGTAACGTTTTTATTAGTTTGATACACGCAATAAAGATGGGCTCCATTCCATGTTATACTACTGGTTTCTTATATTTATATTTCTACACCTCTGTGTAATAATGATTGTTACTTTCTCAGCAAGAATGGCCGACCCGTCCGGTACCATGCCGCGCTTTGGTAGAGGCCAACAGCTCCTTGGCCAAGGGTATTCAAGAGGCTGCGGCTCTTCCATACACAGTGGCCATCAAGGAAATCGATGATATTGCGCTTGACCTCGTCAGAGGACAACAATTGGTAAGACAGTTGTCTATTTATTAGATATATTTATAATCAATTACATACTGGGTAAGGTAAACGTCTCAAAACGTTGAAGAGTCTTCATTTTTCATTCGATTAAGTAGCAGTAGATACGCGAAATATTTCAATTAAAAGCAACATATAACTAGACATACACTAACACCATGGTGTTATACCATTTGAAATATTAATTATAACACTATATCATCATGCTATAATGTTAGTATATGTTTGAAATGTAATAATATTTGCGACAATGACTATTGTGGTCAGAACGTTTTATTGACTCACATCAGACTACCCTATAATATTATGAAATTATAGAATGGTATTAAGGTTACATATATGTTGCACAGTTAAGTATGCTCTTTATTGCAGTAATTTGCATACCTCTTGCTACTTAAGCAAAAAAAAATGATATAAAGGTCCTTTATTGCTAAAAGACTCAACAGTTCTCAACCTTTAATATGTCATCCTGGTCTCCAATGAATCTGCTTCACAACTATGCAAGATTTATTGCAATAATCTCAAATCAGGATACACGTAAATTGTTTTCTTGTACACTGTTTCATATCTCTGATTATTCTCACAAGGATTGCTGTCTTGAATGGAACTTGCTATCCGTTTTCTAGTGCGACACCCAAGTAAAGCTCTGTGTTGGTATATATTTTGTCTAAAATGGCAAAAGCAAGTTCTGTAATAATTTCTGGATTCCAGAAATTATTGCGGAAAAGGAGGTGGAGCAAATAACGTTAACGCCTATTAAGGTGCGAATAACGTAACTGAGCTTCTTCGAACTTTAGAACTAATTGGAGGCCAGTGGAACTTTTACTGGTTTTTAAGCATGTACGAGAACCTTACACAATTGGATGCGACATTGATTTCAGGAGCTCATTTGCTTTTATCTCTATAAAAAATAGAAAACTTTTGTCGCTAACGGTGCCGAAAGTAAATTGAAATAAAAATTTTGCTATAAACAATTAACACTAGTATTTTCTCGAAAAGTCAATTACATTATGTCGAAACTAGGACGAACGTAGCCTGAGCTGGTTCTTAAAGATAGTAGAAATTTCAATCATCTGTTTTCTCTTTTGCTTTCTTATTTTCCTAAATCAGGTGGATGATGTTTACCGAGTTTTGGAATCGGTAAGCGAATCATTGCAGTATATTGAATGGGAAGCAGATGAACTTCGAGCTCAAGGCACGGTAGCACTACCGGTTCCGCCGCCTCGTCATGGATACGGTGGCTGCCACGCGCCGAAGCCGCCTACGTGTCCTGAACAGAAGTAAAAAATCATTATAATAACACCCTGTGTCGATACAAATTGTCGTTTACTTGTATATCTATAATTATTGCGAATGATTCCATAATCAAGTATTATATATTAATGCATAATTAGGAAGTGAACATGGAAACTCAATACGAAGAGTGCGTTGTGAATAGATAGTAATGTTTCCTAAGATTCAAAAAGAAACTCAAAGGAAAGCACAATCAATCTATCACACATATGATAATAACCTGAATAATTAGTATAGTATTGTTGCTTCAATAATGTGTTTCGTCACTTATATAAAAGTGATATATCGTTATGTTAGCTATTAAGTATGTATAATTCGAAAGAAAACTAACACAGTAAACTAGCAATGGTCGTATAACCTAGTTCGTATATTAATTCTTAATTCTATCTATTTAATGTCGACGTATGTGCATATACAATTCTTAAACGATACGAAAAAAGCTAGCAGGACAAAATAGGTCGGCTCAATCGATTCACCACGTTAACTGCCTTGTTTACTTATTATATTTCTGAACTTTGGTCTAACCGATACAAGACATTGTTTGTGTTGGACTTTTTTCACCGATATTCTGTTTAATGGGTCGGAAAAACAAAGGTTTCTTTATGTTCTAAATACTGCGAGTACGATATTTAGAGCCTCAATTAAGAAATTGTTTTATTACTGTAAACGCCTAAAATACAAGTTTGCGCGTTCAAAATGTAAACAGGCCAAGCATATCATTTCATGAAATTGGTGAAAAACCATTTTCGTTAGTACATCATATCGTTGCGTTTTTTCGTACTGTGCATCGAGAAATTTCTGTTGACGGAGGTTCCTGAGTGAAGTAACATATGGCTGTCTTTGGCACAAGGCTCAAATATACACAGACAAACGCACCGAAGCTGCGACAATGACACTGACATTAAGTGCCAAAGTCATGTGAATAAAGTAAATGCGAGCACAGGTAATAATTCGTCAGTAAGAGTGTATGTTATTGATGTAACTAATTAGCGAAATAAGCAGACTGTGAGCAAAATTAAGTGGCCGTCGACCTATCTTCGCTGGACTGTGATTTATCGGTCAGAAGAATTTTCATTATGATTTGGTTCAATGGAAGTCTGTACTTCTCCGGAGAGGGCAAAAAATCTCATTTCAATTAGAAGTTTGTTTCTGATTACAATCGAAATATAGACATCTAAGCGATATCTCGATGGAATTAATAATGCACTTTGATACCCGTATCCGCGCTAAAGTGCTTACTCATGTTTTTGGTCACTTTAAAATTGCAGCACGTACCTTACAATAAGGTACAAGTACTTATTTTTAATTTTTTAAAGCGTATACGAAATAGTGTTTATATATATAACATTTTAACGTCTATGACTGTAAAGATCACTTCTTTGCGTTAAGAATAAATTTGCAGAACTAGAGTGGAGTCACACAAGGCCCCTGTAGTCTTCAAGCCGGCATCTCTTCTGGGAACTATTAAGCTGTTAGAAGTGAATATAGCAAACTTTGAAATTGAGTCACGTCCCAATTAAGCGTCGCTCAGTGATAAATTTGACTGAAAGATGCTTAGTTTTCTAGAAACGTGTGAATGAAACCAGTTAGGTTTATTCCAGGAAAAAATATATTCAAAAGGAAAACATCTTTCAGACTCAAAAATGAATACTAAATGGTCAAGTTTACGTGCGAAACTTTGTCAAAAGAACCTGTATGAAACATACGGCCGCTATACGCGAAGCAAGATTTAACCTACACCGCCAGTTGGAGAGGGATTAGACAAGCTATGGTGTTGCTCTAGAGAGAAATCGAATTTAATGGCAATGTCGAGTGAACTTGGACGTAAGCTGGCAATAATACTTGCAATGAATATCAGGGGTATTTGCTGCTACGAAATACTTGCCGAAAACGAAACAATGAATTCAGTTTATTACTTCAAGTTCATTGGCACAGTGATTGAAAGCACGCAGTATGGTTATCAGACAACGCTAGACCTCATCGTCATGCTTCAGTTACTTCCTGGATTGAGCAACGAAGTATTCCACGTTGGCTTTTACCCACTCCGTGTGATCATAGGGCTTTCCATATCCTAATGAAAATAACTAGTGGACAAACATGATTTCATATTGATTTATTTAGATAAATCATAGACAAAGAGGTTACTTACGGGAATGCAAATGGTAAACATATGGTTATCCAAAAGCTGTCAGAGCGCTGAGGCGAATGTGTAAAAGTTATTCGATTTCAAGCTTCGCCGTATTCGCTTGTAACAACCTAACAGATGCATTTTTTTTCGCTTAAACTTTGGCTCCTAAAGTAACTATTTTTAAACTGGACAAGAGTAGGGAACTGTTATATACTTAAAAAAAAATTGAAATATGTGTAATTAAGGCTTTGTTTTCTGTTTAGGTAAAGTGTCTGTTCACCGTCGTATGTATTGGCCGTGTAAACAAGGCCGTAAAAACACTAAAATACAGTTTCCTCCTTCCAAATAGCTGCCACGTTCGGTGGCGCACCGCCAAGAATAGGGCAACATTTAAGCTTTTATTCTGATTTTAATAAGTCATAATGTAAATCGGAAACAGTCAGGTTTAGTGTCAGTCACCTGTTAGTCTCACTTCGGGTTAGCAGAGATAAAGACACCCGCAAAAAAACCTTAAAAATGTAAAATAAGACTAGTGAATCATTGAAACAAGGTTTAACAGTGAAGTATCATGGCGTACTTTTTCTCCATAAAATCGTGTATCTGACTCACTCTGTTCCGCAACATGTTAAGTCTTTGTTGCGTCTTCCCTTTTTGCCGCGTTCACTGATTTATTTGTCGTTTCTTTGTGACTTTTAAATGTCCTCTTTCCATGCCTTCATTTTTCAGCAAGGAGCAATATTTAATAGAGAAGGAAAAATCGAGGAATTAATCGATAATAGGAACACACATAAAGCCAATACTGCCGGAAAAACAAAAAATAAAATCGCAAATAGTACTCCTGCTATATCATTTGCTTTTTTAGTTGACCATCAAGAGAGTGGCCCTGGGCAGAACTCCAAAACTGAAGTGGAACTGTTTGATATGTTCACTATATACACAGTATCTTTTTGCAACCATTTATTTTTATTGAATCCTCAAAACAACTTCAACGGGCAAAATTTTACTTGCGAGACCTAAAAAAAATGCCTTATGTGAACGTCGACATGCAACGTTCTACAAGATTAAAATCTGTTCCTTGTTTGGCCCGACATAGAATAAGTGCATATCTGCCAAGTGATGTTGGTTGAATACAAGTCTTTATATTCAACTTATTAGGCTGCATGTCGTTGTTAGAAATCGAAGACGCTCATAGTTTTTTTAGTGTACGAACCTCGTGCACAGGTAGGAGTTATGTTTGCTTTGCCTGAGAGGTGCGTGACGAAACACGCACTATCTACGCAATTTTTACAAATTACCAGTTTAATAAGTTCTAATAAATATATTCATAATGTTTAGAATCAGAGGGATACTGGTAAAACCGATAAATAACAAAAGGTACTTTAGAAGTCCAGTATAGGCACACATGAACGTACTGCCTTTCTGACTTTAATTGGAATAGTGGAAACTAGACACAATAGAAGCTACCAAATAGCCCGGTACACAGCGAACCGTAAGGTCAGGCATAAGTTAGAGAGAAAATTAGGTTTAGAGTTTGACATCATATGAAGACTCCATTTATTGCACGATTTGTTATAGCTGTTGAACAGAATTTTCTTACTGTAACTTTGTATCAGCATAAGTAGATTATTTTTTAACGGCCGCATTCTAGGGTTAACTGCTTCGTGCTGTTGGATCAATCGGCTCACCCCAAAATGCAAGATTATGATTTACCTGACTGTCTCGGGCTTGTTTCCAACCCTATTTATCAACTAATTAAACATGTTTGACTTCAGTTGCACTCTAAGACGCACCCAATTAAAGTGATTTTAGCCCATTTCTCCCAATGTGTCGCCCTATGGACGAGAAAATAAATAACATTATAGCAATTTGCAGTTACAGAATGTCCAGTTACACAATCCGAGCCAGCACCCATGAGTTAACAATGGATCGGAGCGTGAAAATGACTCTGAGGGAGATGCAAAAAAGCTTCGCTAAACTGGTTTTAGACGTGACATATCTAAAGTAGCCGCATTGGCACAGCCAGCAGCAGCATTGCTGATACTCGGTTTATAGTTTGTATAAAACAGTAGCTTGTAGTTTTCACACAACGAGCGATATTGTCAAAGAACTCATTGGTGCAACATGGCAAGCTCTGAATATATGAATAAATAAATCTGCTATTTTTAGTAGAGCCCCATTTATTGCAGCAGTTGGGTTGCTGTAATATTACATGAATACTTTCAATGCTATTTTATTTTGTCTACGATAAATGTCTTATTTTTCCTCGCCGTGCCATATTTTTCCTATATTCATGCTATCAACACGATAAATTAGTTCGTGTCGCTATTTTTATTTTTGATCAGCACTGTTGTTCGTTTTGAAGGCGTTAACTGTAGTGCGTCAATGAAAAACCTGTTTACTATACATCTTCCGTGATCCTACGTACTAGGGTATTTGTTTGCACGGGGATAAAACCATTCAGTATCTATACTTCTGCTTGAGGCCTGTTGCATGTGGCAGTAGATCCCATTATCCATAATGTTACGGATACGGGGTGTAGTAGTGATATTTACTATGAGTGGATATTAATTCACTCACCGAGTTTCAGTTTAGGCTCAAATACGGGACCACAAAACTGTAAGCTTAGAATCTTAAACATCCCGCCACGGTGGCGGTCATTATATTAATTATGTAGCTCTTTATTCTTTTGTTACACCAATAACCAAGATAGTCTGTACTAGCAACACGCTTAATGAAGTATCACGCAGTTTTTCAAAGACGTAAAGCTCGAGCATCGTGCCATGGAATAGCCTTATGTCATTATCGATTTTTTCTATAATTCGGCCTTCATGTCTGGTTGTGAGGTTCTACAGTTAAATAAAGTTTATGAAGACGTTCAAAGCGTCAAAACCATATCCGCATTGCTCTCTACTATTCTACTGTTAGTAATCTTGATAGCATTCTCGAGGAAGACTTTCGGAGCAGATGCCTAAAGGCAACACACGCTAAAAAACGTTCTCACAGTAAATGGCTTAGATAGGTAGATACAAGTTACTGACGTTAGATGATGGCTAATCATTACTGACTGATACCATGCTTCTGCTCCTGAATGGACGACCGTAATATTCTTCATTTTAGCATTTGTCTTTCTACTGGTCATTTCAGTCATTTTTAAAGAGTGGCTAACAATAAACAAAAAAATCTACAGAACACAAATATGAGTTTTAAAGAATCTACTACTCGTGATTTTTTTATTTTAAGACACGTTTCAAGGGTGTTTAAGGCCCTAGGCCGTATTTCGATATTATATCATTGATCGCAAGTGGAAACTTTCATATTGACACTGTGGTTGCACACGCATTTGTTTCTCTGGAAAGCCTTTACAATTTTAGTTCATGATTCCAACAACTTGAAATCGCAAAATACCGATCTTAGCACATAATTGATTAAAATATTGGCACATTTATCTTAGTAGATAAATGGCCAATATTTCAAGGCGTAAGGCTTTATATAACATACATGCTTAATATTACTGTCTTGTGTTTATATACATTTTAAGTGTCAGACAGAATTCGTGTAAAAGTAAATTGATTGGTTCAAGTATACCATCAAATATTTAAAGAGTCGATTCCCAGTCACTACATGGGGAGCGTTAGGGTATCTTACTCATAGATACACTGTAAAGCTATTGACTAGAAGTAGATTTTTACAACACTAAAAATACAATCCCATTAATCTCACGATTACGGTTGCGGAAAAGCCATCCTTCAAATCTTATTTTCTGATATCACCTATGATTCTAACGGATTCAAAATTGAGCTTCTTCCTATATTCACCCAGTTTCAGGTTTTATCTGACACCCCGATATGGAAACGTACCTACATAAATCTACATATCTGCCTACTTACTCGCTTCAGATTGAATTGCTGACAGCTCGAATTTAAACGAAAATGTACTAATTGTAAGTACCCGTTGTCCTTACCCGACATAACTGCTTAGACGAAATCTAGGACAGTCATTTATGCTTTAGTTCTATTAACTTCATTAACTGGCGAACTGCTAGACATTTACATGCTGTAACAGAGCTGATACGAGAGTCATCATACAAAGATCGGTAAAATATTATTATTATCAGAAACGATTACGTTCTTTTAATATTAACATTGTTATTATGATTACAACTGTTGTTGTTACTACGACGACCACAGTGTGATAAAGAAGTAGTGATGGTCGCTATTATTAACGGTGAATAAACGGAATTGTGTCATCGTCTGATAGAAGAGAGAAGATTTGATTCTCCTGCACGTCGAAGTGTCAGCGAAGCTCCAAATGGAGCGGTCGATATTTGCGAAGCGTGTCGGTGTGTTAGTACCCCTGTAGAGGGCGATTGTTGTGTCGTGAAATGACATCCAACAACGACCACATTGAAATGAAATACGAAGCCGAAATGGAGAACGAGCAGAAGCTGAAAAGAAGGCTAAACTGGGGGCTGGCAAAGAGGCAGCTGATGGCGAACTTAATGGGTTCAGGTGGGAAGGTGCTTTATTGTGTTATTATCATCATAATGCTGTAGGAGCTCTTATGCCTTTTGCCAAAGCACACGTTATCGCCGACAACTGCTGGTTCGTTTCATTCACTCAGTGACAGAGAGCCTTGGGCGCTGGCTTGTTCGTCGTTCGCTCTGTCGGGCGCGTTTTCAGAGCGTGCAGTGTGCTCACGCCTGTGTGGGCACATGTTTGTGGCTGTCTACAGCCAATGTGCTGGATAATGCTTGATGCGCGAACCGAAAACAGGGAGCCCCGCCCGCGATCGTCATCCACCCAACTCTATTGACTACCATTGACAAAGAAATTGCCAATAACGTCTTCTCCTGACATCACGACAACAACAGTCCTTAGTGGCGCCTTTGTCGCCGTAACTGCGGACAGTAAGAGAAATCCGCTTGGGTAGTGGAAAGCAATGATGCCACAAGCATGCGCCCCGTCTTCCAGCAGTACAACAACGGCTCGTGGTGATCCTACTTCTGCTCTGAAGATACTCGCCTTTCATCACCACGAGCAAAAAGAAGACGAAGAAGGAGACCTGTACGGTGCACAAATGTTCGAAGGTAGTTCGCAGGTCGGTGGAAACCTACAACTGTTGGGCACAGCCGTTGCCTTCCTATAGACTACGTTTCAAAGCCGGGAACAGGTCGTTCGGCGTCAAGAACGTTTAAGAAATTGTAAGTCAATGAATGCCTATAATTCGTAAGTGGTCTTGTAAATTTAAAACGCCGCTAGGTCAGACCAAAGGAGCATAGACCTAATTAAGGCGGCTGGCCTAAAGCCTGCAAAGCCGCCGTCCAACGATGCTGCCCAACGATCAAACGACAACGATGGTACGTCTCGAAACCTTTTTAGTGGTTTTGACAATGGTCTGTGTTATCGCCGCGAACGACAGTGCAATTAAGAACTTATATGACCCCGCTACGACGATAACACAAGTTGGAGCAACTGAAACCGATAACACTGGACCGGCCAAAGTTTTTGACGAAGAGCTGGATAGGAAGTTTCACGCTGAATATCGGAGTTTACAGTCAAGCGAACGTCTACAGCACCAACATGACGATGACAGGGGATTTTTAAAGGGGTACGTAAAATGTCGAAACGATAGCGTCAGTATAACCAGACATGCAGCAGATAGTATTAGAAGCCGTTCATTGGAAAATGAAAGTCCAAAAGAAACCTTTGATGCGTTTGTTATGGATGAAACAAATGAAAAAGGTGATCACCACATGCCTAATGTGAGTTTTGCTAAGAGGATGGGTGGTGTTGACAACGTGATGCCTCCTGCAAAACAAATAAAATCTAAACCATTGCATTTCAGCCAACAAGATCAAGATATTGGGGATGTGGTTCTCTACCGACCTAAGAATCGTTCCCATGACGGGTATCAGAGAAGTAGGATCTTGGTTCAGAAGAATCTCGAAGAGGATCGGCATAGTGGAACGAAGCTGAATAGTGACGTACCCGGTTCCGCAGGTATTTCAGGACGTCTGCAAGACGTGCATCAAGGTCAGTCGCTGTTCTACGACAGCTCCGCCGAACTCGTCGGTGTCGCAAGTGAAGATATTCCAGTGAAAATTGTGCCTATTGAAACTAAAGTCCTACCTGATGATTGTGAAGGACAAAATGATAATAAGTGCAGTACCTTAGCTCCACCCGAAAAACGGAACGCTACGACAACTTTACTTAATAGCACGATGTTACCCTTTGAGACACGTGTAACGGGAGAGCATCCCGAGTGGAGTACCGTTCTATCAGCTCTAAATGCAACCGAATCCGGGATTCGATTGGCTAAGACAGTGTTACACTACGATTCTGAAGAGCATCCTGAGCACAAAAACGGCCCAAAACAGAACAGCAGGGAGGTCATCGAATCAAGATCATCCAATAGTAAACCAGCGCGTGGGCGTAACCGTGCAAGCAGTGGGCGATCCCTGTTTAAATTGTTAGCAGGCCAGCAGTATAGCGATATTTTTAATGGAAGCAATAATAAGAATACAACAACGGATGCAACAATTGACAAAGAAAACAAAATGAATCCGTTCCGGTTCGGTTTACAACAACTGTTTACTCCACGATTACCCATGGCTAGATTACCTGGTTATCCCCAGATGATTACATATGCTCCACAGTACCGCCCAGTCGGAAGTCTGCTGTATCCCACACGAACTCCAATGCTACCCTTATATACGACAACAGCACTTCTTCCGATAACCGCCCACATGGCTTCATCTACAACTGCAATTTCGACCGCCCGAACGCCACTGCAAGATCCGGTCACACTCAATGCTGCAAGCAACAACAACAACAAACCGATCACTACAGACCCAGCGAAGTGCTCAGGAGAATGTGTCGATGTGTTTGCTGCACTTATGTGCAAACGAGTGGATGAGGAGGCAAAGTGTGCTCTCTCGAATCAACGATGCTGCGTGGGTGGAGCTGAACAGGTAAGGAGCTCATTTGATAGTCACACTTGCTTTTGTATTACACGCTCACATAATTCGAGCTCGTATGTCTTTGTGCGGCTTTCAGTTTTGAAATAGGAGTGAGTTATTGGCTACTTATCTGCTAATGCTAATACAAATAGGTTAATTATAGCAAACCTACTTCATTTTTAAATACGCGGTATGCAACCTGTAAATGAATATGCGCTCTCTATTGGTTTCATTAGTGGATGGATAAACAATGTGCTCAACTGTAACAACTGCAACAAGATAAAAAGCGAATGTTGAATCAGCATGTGAACAGAAAACAAATATCTATAAAAGTTAGGACGGTGTCTGCGGTTGTCCTATTTCAGCAAACAGAAGGTATAAAGGCATCCTGCTAGTCGGCCTGGTTTTTAGAGCGCTATTGTATAGTTTGTGCTGTACTTTGTAGGATATGCCGACATGTAGTGACATTTTCGGTTTACAATTTACAAAGTTCATATCAAGAGATAAAAGGTCCTTATCTCCGGGTTTCTTCTAAATTGGTATGGATATCTAGGATTCCATAACGCAATTTATACGATGGTATTTCTATTTGCAGAACTTCACGGAAACACAACGAAATCAAACCATTGCTAAAGCCGTTGATTATCAGTGATTACCTGCCACACAAATGTACCATGAAAAAAATGTCCTCCATATTCTGCAGCCCGGACCCACGCCAAAGAAAATGATACTCACTCTATTTGGTGCAGCTAGAAAGGAACAAACAAAAGATGCCCCCAATAATAAAATTTATACGGATCGTTACTACTAACAACTAACAAGATTACGATAAGCTGTTAGCAAATCGAGCGGAACCAATGAATAGACGGGGCGTACTTTTACATCGTCACGATGCCAGATTATATACATATTTAGCTCTTCGGCCAAAATTGAAAGAATTTGGATGGGTATTATTAATGCATCCGCGATGTAGCCCAGATTTTGCACCATTCGCATCAAGCACGCTATCACAGCAGCATCATCGAAACAATTTTAAAAAAAATACTAAGTTTGTTTAATGTGCAGACTTTGTTTTACGGATTCCTGGCCTCACATTTAGATGTGGAACATTAGACAATATTAACTGCTGCAGTACCCACTGAAGGCACATTTTCTTTTGTCCTGATCCTGTGTAGGTACTTGCCTTTATATTGTACTTCAACGAATTTATTACCTGAATATGGACGAATTGCTGTTTTCTTCTTTTTCTTCATTTTCGACAAGACTCTAGCCAGACTAGTGTGCGGTCATGCTTCTCCCAGGACTTTTTCTACACATATTACATGGTACTATAAAGGTGGCGTTAAAAATGTCGACGGCTTCAAATGCAACTAGTTTTAGTTGGACGGCCGCAGCTGCTCTCGATAACACCCAACAATTATTAAATCCTTAGTCTTTATCAGCTTACGATCACATTATTGGCATAGAAGACCACTCACACAGCTGGTCTCATATATGGCCTATTTACTTCAACTAAGCGTCTTAGCCACCGTTGGAGACTGAAAGTAATTTTTGCGCTTTCATTAACTCAAAACCGATGAAAACATCTGTCGGGGGGTACGAGCCCCAGCTACACTTCTATTTAAAGCCGTGCGAATTCACGCATCAGGGATTTTTATTATTTATTTACTAATGTTTCATTCACCAGCCTTATAAGGGACATGCATATGCTATACATGGGCCGAATTGTACCTGCTGAATAACTTTTAACGGAAAACGCTTGAATCTCAAAATTTACAAAGGAATCATTCTACACTAATTTGTACGATATGCAAACGAAGGCCTTCATTTGAGATCCGCTAATGGAAGGAGGATATGTTACCGCGCTAGCATTTATCAGGAATTGATATAAGTGATTGGAAATTACATTGGACAACTAAGGAAAAGTTCAACCACGATGTTATTATAACGATAAGTAAATATATGCTTCAAATGAGTTTGTAGAAAAACATGTTTCCTATATAGCGTGCATGTATATTAGATAATATGAACCAATATATAATACTGAGTTTTGATGGAAGGCACGAATGTGTGAGCACTGTAATCTTTATTCATTCGATAAATTTCGACCTTATCAATTGCCAGCAAATTCTGGGCCGTACGTCTTCATATGGAGCAATGTAAACTCTAAAGCAACTAGCAATCAGTTCAAACTAGACCGTCGCTATCGTAAATTTAAACACAAGACGACCTCTAAAAATAGAACAACAACCACTCGGAACGTCATCACCCAGCCAGAGCCATGCCCCAGCTAACATTGAAATTCACCTCTATTGTTGCGAAATCATCCTTTATGGACTGTACTAGTTTGATATTATACACGATGTATTATTTCAGATGAGCAAATTTCGGAAACGGCACGGTTCCCTAGCTAAGAAGAAAAAGATACCCTTCAAAAAGTACCAGAAGAAATATCATCGCGCTAAGGTACCGACATTCATATTAGATCTAAAGTATTGTTGTTCAAATCGTTTGTTGTTAATCAGTTCGGTGCAACTGCCCAAATCGGCATGACTTTGAAGCTTATTTTTGGATAATTACGCCGAAAAAATGCTTTCAATTTTTTTTCTGAATCTTCTGCCCATACGGTCTCCTATGTTTTTTACGATACTAGTTAGATAATTCCAAGAACTTTTCAACGTTAGAACCGCAGTTGACGTCTGCAACGAATCAATTGATGGTTGACGATAGTTCTAAATGGAGTAGCAGCGAACTTCTACAAGTTGGTTTATACCAACTTTAAGATAATAGAGCATATGTTCAGATCATAAATACATTAGATTCGCCTGGTCAGAAGCGTTACCTTAGACAAAATAGAAAGCACCTAAGGGTTAGATGCATCGTATACTTGGATTAACCGAAAACATTCTGCTCTGGAAACCGACCGCCTATTTTATCGTGGTGCAAGGAGTCAGCCTCATCGTCGCTAAATATTGGCGCTGGGCACACGGGCTCTGTCGAGATCGCAATCGAGGAAGATGGTCATGAGCAAGATTATGCAGATGTGCAGAAGTTTTTTCTTCATTCGAAGAGCCCAGCAAGTTTGACCTTTTCAAAGGAAAGCACCACTAAGAGGCCCGCAATAATTCAACTCTCATCAGACAACAGACTAGTCCAGGTCATCGGTCCGAAAGACCAGTTGTGGACAACCAGGTGATGTGTGCCGCAACAGAGTACAGTTGGTATCCACTGGGTCCATTCTACGGCAACATCCATTATAAAAGACACAAAATTGAACTACGTGTTATACAATCCGCTGTATTACTGTTCATTAGTTCGCATCCAGTTGCGTTATAATCATACTGAACACTAATTTAGCTTATTATCGAAAATCACGATATGTTCGGATGAATACCTTCAGATAATTAGGAAGCAATAGTAACAATATTTCACACTTCACGTACAATATTATAACTGATACCACTTGCATCATTTCGAGAATAATATAGTTTCGTGTGCTCGCATTACTCCAATTGCATATTTTACAGTATCAACAACATGAGTCTGCTGGCAATTGTCGGTAATATTTCACGCAGGTACCCAGAGATTCCTAAATATGTGACCATTGTCACAACAACCAGCCGACCGTTCAAACCGCTGCGACAACACGCGACTCGACGAATGGACTCGTACTCTGACGGACAGTCAATGGAATCTACACTGGTTTATGAGTCGGAACATAGTGCAGTTAACGAGAGTACTCATTCAACACAAGAGGTACCTTGAATGCCCCCTAATTTCATGCTAAAGATTATATTGTCTATTAGCTCTGGCCACCAGCCTATATGGGTCCGTATTTTCTATGCCAATTTTGTTCAAACAAACCTGTCAAATACACAAAATGGACTTTGCCATATTTAGCCCACATCTCAGTCTAGAAATGGTCGAAATTCTGGTTATTATGGTTCTGTCAGATCTTCCAATGCCGATTGTTAATTATTAATAAATAACTTATCTTCTGTATACATATAGATATATATATATATGCAACAGGGACAACTTAAATATCCTACATCCGGACAGTTGTCAGCATCAAATATGATAGCCTGTATGTTTCGATTCTTGCCGTACGATCGCTTATATCAAGCAACCGAAATAGTGTTGCAAAAACCCTGGCTTTTCTCTTTCAAATAATATCAATGCTTGGATCTGAAGGAGCCTAGGAGCTTCACCCGAAAACCAAAGAACCAACAACAGAACAACAGCCATGATGGCGATGACCGACAACATGCGGGGACCGCGTCAGTAAGCGAGCATGAACTTGAAATGATTGAGAGCGGCGTACATCAAATAAAGGCCCTACCACCGTCCAAAAGAAAGAGCCAGCAAGAGAGCGATCATAAAAAAAGTCAAAAGCGTCCTTTTGCTTCGGGCGTTTCACAAGATAATAACATTGATGACGAGCGAAAGTATCACGATCTTCCTGAACAAGAAGTAGCAGAAGAGGAACCGGTGAGTACATAGATGCATCAACAGTATTCTAACCGCTTAGCATACGCTAAATTTCAAATAACCAGGGAAATTAGATTATTTTAGAATTAGGGTTAGTTCTGCAATTTAATGAATAATAAATGTAGCGGGACAACTGCGTTGAAATAAAGTATAACCCTGACGAGACAATTTAACCGTAAAGACAGCCTCTTTACCGATAGATAAGGATAAAGGAACAGGAAACTTTCCGAAAGATAAAATGACAGAGACAAGGTAGCATAATTTCGAGCCCGCTGCAATGGTATCGCTACCTGTGGCGGAGTATGCCACTTATGCTCAATTTGGATTGAGTTGAGTTTCCAAATTATCGGTAAGAGACTATAAAGATACAGTATTCGTGCACTGTATATGCACTATTACTGGTTACCGCGAATTATTTCCGAGTATTACGTACCGATGCGGTAGTGTGATCTTCTTGCTCTAGCAAAGTCACTTAATACAGGACATTCTAAATTGATTCGAATATCTATCGAGTAATAACCGATAAGTACTACTTAGCTATCTGAATTATATTCATATGACTAACTATAATTACAGATGCATTTATTTCATTTATTTTGCAAGAAGGATACCAGTACTGATGATACCCCCAGCACAACTAAGCCGCTCGATAAAGAATTTCCGCTATGTCCTGGAAACTGCGTCATGCCGTTATTTAGTCTGTTCTGTGATCCTGAATTCAAATCCCATGCATGCGATGTTCCCGGCAGGGTATGTTGCGTAGGAGCATCTATGAAACCCAATGGTGCAAAGCAAAACGGACCAGCGAGTGAGACGACGTCTAATTCAGCGCAGACAGTAGCCGAAGAAACTCCGAATACTAACGACGGTCATGACAGGGAATGCCCCGGAAGGTACTGGCACTTGTAGATTTTATGCGTTTGTTTGATTCGTAAAGTGTAACAAAATAAGTGTATGAGGAAAGTTTTGTGGATAAAAGAAGAAATCCGTAAGCCCGTATACAGATAATGTCGTGAGCACATATTGTTCATTTTACTCAAATGTTAAAATCTTTTTCTTATGTAAAATAAAAACTGTCAGTTCCTTGAATAGATTTGTTTGCTCTGACACCTCAGTGACTCTAATAAACTATGGTAGAGTTTCGCAAAACGTGGCATGGTTTGGACCAATGCAAATACGTTTTTCGGGCAGTGTCTAACAATGCATGTATAATACATGCGTTTTTAACAGCGCTTCAAGGTCAATTCACATTACAACAAAAAATCCGATTCATTTTTAAGCGAACAGTGACTGAGCAATGACTGAGGTAGGGCTTCACCTATTTTGCTATCAAAGTAGTAAAAGCCTATAAAGATGATGATCATGACAGAGACCGATTTCCGATTGACTTTTGTCTGATGGTGCTAGTAGAAAAGCCTTTAATGACATTAAGATTATGAAGCCGATTTATACAGAAAAAAATCACTGAGCTTCAAACCGAAGATTTAATTGCTTTTTTTTTTTTTGAGAGCAACTTACTGTGTAGCCATTGCGCGGTCAAAGGCTCTGTACTTGAGGTTTTGAGGAAAATGTTTGTGACTTATAACCATGGGGCAAACTAAACGTTACAAACGTTATTTCTTCTCCCTATAAATTGACTTATACGCTTGATATTGATCAGTTGCAGCTAGTTATTTATATACCCAATGATGAAGCTTTTCGTGGCGATGTAAATTCAGTTACGTAGATAATTTTGAAACGAGTAAATATTATATCTACTTGAAGTAAAGTCTAACACTTGCTCTTTTGTTCACAGATGTGTCACTGCTTTCTTCCAGTACACTTGCCGCCATCCGTTTAAAATTACTGACGACATTTGCCCTATTGGCAGTCTTTGTTGTTCTGAAAAATCTCCACCGTCTCAGGCCAACACGGAAGATAATCACCAAGACGGTAGTGCCAACGAAGCCTCAAAAAAATCAGGTGAACAACATGGGGTACAAAACGACATGCAAGAGTACCAACACGATGCTGCTGAGTCCACAAAAAATAAGCTAAATCTCATTCATAGCTTTTTGACAACTGTTTTGAGCACGAAGCGGCCAAAGAGAAGACCCTCAGGCATTGAAAATGTTTCCGCTGACACTTTTCATTCCAGCAGTAGACCACTAAATAATTTTATCGATGAGGTTTTGCAGGCGGATGAAACCCGAATGCGACCCAACTATGCAGTTCCCTACGAACCAAAATTCTTTCCGATGAATGATGTACAAACAGAGGGCAGCAGCACGTCTGAAGATGGTTCTGACCCACCAGAAGTAGTTATAGAGCCTGCTATACCGACCCGACCTACTTTGGACACCAGCTTTTCACAACTCGATAGGCCCCCATCTAAGTTGGTACTCTCAGAGTTCACTCCATTAAAAAATGCTCCTTTTCATGAACATCATAGAGCGCCTCATATAAAGGAGGACACTTCCAAGCGCAAGGAAATAGACTCGCCGCCCTTACGTTATCGAGGTTACCCTAAAGGACCTGAGTCAGCTCATCCAAGACCGCCATCTGTAAGACAAGATCATAGTCACCATCGTGGAATTGTATCAACAGTAGCACGACCAGATGATGGCAGTCAAGAAAACGCTCGAATACGACCGCCTCATATGGATTTAAGGAGATATCAACCAGGACTTCCTCCCTATCGCAGATTCCGACCGCTACCGCCACCATCGCCGCTCCCATCCCCCTTTCTAAGTCTAAACAGCAGCTCTACGAGCAATAGTCATCTTTTTGAGGATGATCTACTTTCTTCGAGCCACGAAGAGAATAACCATGTCCACGAAGCTGAGCTATCGTTAGAAGAAACTGAGCACAAGGAATTGCCTCAGCTGACAGCGTCCACTATGGCAGAGGTAACGGCCGAAGGGAATTTAACTAATCCCTTTGTCAGTGTATGGACACCGACAAATATAAACTCCGCTCGCGTTAAAGAGGTAAATGCCATGTCGTCTACTCTACCTGAAGAACAAACTATAAAGGTTATTGGAAATGGTGTTCATCCCAGCTCATGTGGCCTTAACGGTTTCCATATCAAACGAGGATCAGATCGGCATAGTTTCCGCACTGCAAAACTGGGAGAATGGTGCTGGCAGGCTGCTATTGTGGATTCTGAAGATCGGCTACTGTGTAGCGGTGCAGTAATTGGCGCTCAGTGGATTCTGACATCGGCTTCTTGTTTGGTTCGAGCTAATTTCACGACGCCCGTTTCACCTCAGACCAGTGGTTTACGAGCCAAAATTGGCTATGTAGACCTGAAGGGTTCAGCGGGCGGCTTTACCCATGGCCCCATGGGGTCACAGACCAAGACAGTCTCAATGGTATATAGTCACCACAATTTCAATGCCGAAAGGAGGGATAATGACGTCGCATTGCTTAAGTTGCACGATTTCATTGATCTGAATGGCGTCGTATGCATCATATGCCTTCCATCAACCATCCGTCCTGAGCGAGCTGTCGAAAACTGTACTGTTACAGCCTACCGTTATGAGTCGCGCAGACAATCATCTAATGGTGTTGCTTTTGAGAACAATAGCAACGTGTCTGCCGACAAAGTGAGACTAACATACGAACGTGTGAGCAAGTTGGATCCGCAAGTGTGTACGGATTTAGCTGCTTTGAGAAATCACAGCCAACTCTTTACTTTTGCCCTTAACGGTAGCTCTGTGAGTTCGGTTTCAAGAAGCAAATTTTGCGCAGGCGATGTTGATAAGGGTGAACGAATTGCTACCTGCAAACCGAAACCCAACTTAGATTCGGAGACGGTAGATGTCCATATTTACCAGACAGAGCAGACTGAACAGGGCATTGATGTAGTGGGTCTGGGAAATCCATTAGTCTGTCGAATTGACGACGAATTCTACCAATTAAGCGGACTGTCGTCGATGTTCCTTGGCTGTTCCAGTCCAGCATCACCTACAGTGTTCACCAATCTTGCATATTTCACCGGCTGGATAAACCAAATTACTAACGTTAATCGTTATTCATAAGGGTTGCCTTCGAGCTTAACTATGACAAATTCCTATAAACCCTTATTTATAAGAATTTCATTCAGTTCTCAGATTAACATTGAATACGTATTGCGTAGTCACATTCATGTATGGATACGAATGACCGAGTGCACCGCCTTAACGCAGTACCATGCCAGTTTTATTATCTGGGATGTAACTGAGAGTTGCTTACTTTGGTTACTTATATATGCTTAGTTGAATCTTACCGTAATAATTCTGGATAACCCTATGTACTAATTCAAGCTCCTTTTCCGGTTTTAAATAGAAAGCAATGCGGAGTAGTAGCAGATAGTATTAATACAAGGATACAGAGCAGTCAAAGTTTTGGGTCTGCCGCATTTGTAACCCAAGTAAAAAAAATACAGGTCCAACCAAAATGTCTATCTAATAATAAAAATAAATTTAAATTAAAAAATCCTTGATTTATATACACGAGTTGGATAAAAGCTAATGTCGACATAGAATAGTACTTTTAGGCCGGAGGCGTTCTACCACCGGTATTAAGATAGCACAGTGGGTAGTAATGAACCAACATTAGTAATTTCCAAAGCATTAACGGTTCAAATAATTTTCAACAGAGTAATCAAACACAAGCGACATTTATCAAATGTGCTGGCCGCATCATCGATTCTCATAAATTCATCATCAGTGGCTTGAAGCAGGACTTTTACATGTCAAGTAACATATTTAATATAGATATACATATTATAATCGCCCTCAATAAGTGATTACCTGTTTGTAGATTATCAATACCATTACATTCCATTTATAATCCGATAACTGTGTATATAGATGTTATAGGGTTGACATCATCGAATCGTTAAAATATATTCTACTCCCAGATTGAATTTTGTTTTCATTGGATGCATTTGTTATCGTTATTTTCGGACTATTATTAAGTATTTTTTTATACGGTGTTTGTTATATTTTTGTGTCAAATGCGATTGCAAAACACATTAACATAGCCTATTACAATTGTTATAGCACTCAGCTTGAAATTTTTGGTATAAACCATTCAACAGTATTGTACTATACTTCAGTTTCAATACGATGTGCTCCTGAACTGAGTCGGTTACGCATGCGCGTCCAGATGAAAAGCTGTTAATTAGTCTGGCAAAAAAATGATGTTCGACATTTTGAAATACTTCCTTTCCGCTATTTACTTCAAAAAGACATCGAAAATCCTCCCTCTTAGGGGGTAAACTCATTGAAATTTCTTCTGATCTAATTTTCGTGCATTAATAGGAGTTCTATAATAATTGTTTCTGCTCAAAAAATCCTGCATTTCCGGCAACAAGTTTATCTGATCATTTCTGTCTTCAGATTTTCAAATTTCTGAGTCTGTTCTTAAGCAATGCAAAAACGCCTCGCCTTACCTGTAGGTCGCCTCTGTGCATTTAACTTTTCAGTACCTTTCCACTATTGTTTCAGCCCCTTTTAGACTTGGACAGACCGGCAGAGGTTGCAGTGAGAGCATATGCTGCCCTAACCTTTATTCTCTTTTTCAAGTATACTTTAGCATTTTCATGGTCTATCATCATTTATGCTAGAACATAGATAATTGTGTTTTCAAGTCTGCCAAACCACTTTTTCATATCCGGAGTGACATACTGACACTCTGATATGGCTCTTGGGAAGACAGTGTATCATCCTGACTGTCATGATGATAGAGAAACTCTCATAGTCTGCTTTTCTCTTCCGCTTTTAGGTTTCAGGACAATCTATTGGGCTCTTTCGAGTTGAAATTGCGCTCACGATACAATATCATTGTTTCATCAGGGTTTTCGGGAAACAAGGAGTGAGGTAAAGAAAAAAGAGCAGCCTAAAAAACGAAGCAACTTTTTTCTAATCTATCTTATCCGCTTAAGGTCTTAAGTGCCTCAAAACTAAGTACAAGGGAACACGGTTTTTTATTACCTCTCAGTGTCTCGGCCACCACCAAACAACACACAACCATAATGACAGAATTGTTATGACAAAGAAGGTGGTTTACTGTAATTATAAGGTACGAGGACGAACGAGTATCTACGAAAGATATGCTTAAGCCTAGAGATAAAGCAGAACCCTACCCGAAAAAGATGATTATGTTTGATGAATTAACGAATGCTTGAGAAAACAAAACGGTGGACAACGATCTATTTTTTCCTTAGTTGTATAGGGTAAACGAAGCTGTGCCACAGAAAAAAGGTTGATAAACAAGACAAAGTAATCATCTACCACCACAAATATTATGAACCATGCATGACAAAAGTGGTTAGAATCGCAAAAGCCTAAGCAAAAGGTTACTTTGTACCTACCTCATTACCTAAGCCTCGTATCGAGGGACTATCACCTTTTTTTATGAAATAGTGGTGACCACTAGCAAATAAAATAGATAACTATACATTTGATAACGATGAGAACCTTACCCAGATGATCGGGTTCTTCCATATAAGATTTGAAATTTTCTAGTAAGATGAAATAAATCAATTGGTTGAGAATTGGAAGAGGTTGAAGACAGTAAGGATGAATACAAAACGAATAGATTTATTGCTAATTATCCCGACACAGCTTTGCTTGCCATTTATTTATTAATTCAGGTAGGTTAGCATTTGCATAAAAAACAACGGACGTTTGGCGCTTTGTTATAGAATATCCGGCACTAGATTATACCTTTAAAGTATTAAGCACGGTTCTTTGTTGTATAGAATGATAGATGAACATATGCAAATAGAGCTTGGTGGCGTTGAACGCTTATCGCAGTTTTGATTGAATATCCTGCTTATTCTCCGATTGTTCATAGTGCAAACTTTGATAATCGCGATATTTGCTTTCCGATTTTGGTGTTTTCTGATTCCTTCGGATGACCACACTCAAGACTATGGGACTCATTAGGACTTTGGTAAAGTATAGATAAATTTAATCCCATTTTTAATAGAAAATATAGTCCGCTACATTTTGCGGAAAAATAGCACATTTACCGAAAAGAACAGTTGAACATAAGCTGGGCCGCTTATACCGGTAACTGGGTAATCTTTCAAAAAAGATTTTTAATAATTCGAAAATACAAAACAATTAATTAATCATAGCAGCAATGAAATAGACGGCATTACCAAAATTAAGTAGCTTCATTAAAGTAAAATTTGAAGCATACTTTAAATTAAAAAAAAGTAAGATTTAAACTGCGGTCTGGGTTTGCGATTCCAGCTCGATCTTTATTTAATTTTTTTATTTCAATCTTCCATAGTACTCATTAGTGTAATGTTCATATTTTTTTACTTCTATTATCTTCATGATCTCCGCTTGTCTCATTGTAATCTGTTTCTCAGTCATTATCGTCGCACCGTGAGCAGCATAATAATAATAAAATATAGTGTCGAAACTCAACAACGTTTCCACTGTCTCCATATTCTTTTTATCCATCTCGTTATCTTCATCCATTTACCTTCAGTATTACCATAATCACGACATGTTTCGCTTTTATTAGGCTTTTTCAGCCCGACCCATCGGCCTTAATTCTTCTTTCTATGTCTTGCTAAGTCATCATATATAGCTTTGACTTTAATATTTACGAGTAATTATCCTGTTCCGCGTTCATCTTTTAGTCTTCTGCCTAATATTCACCTCTCTCTTCAAACCTCAAGAACGCCCCTTTTAGAGTTCGTATCTAGACTTTGAGTCTCTGATCCTGAATTTCAACAACTTCACCATAGACCATCTTTTCGACTATTTCAGTGCGCAAAAATAATCTTCATAAATTACCAAAACGTAGTCTTTCGATTTCTACTTATTCTTGGCTCTATTCTCCGTTTGACCCCCATAATTTTATGCTCAGCGCTCGATTCTGCGAGTTTACCCTCACCGAGTCTTTTTCTTCGTTTCCACATACGTTTCTATGTATCGATATTCGATCAAAAATTCTTGTTGCTCCTACCATTAAAATCGGGATACAGGTTATTTCCATCGATTCTTAAAGCATTTCGAACTACAATAATGCCTGTTGTTCATCTTGTCATCACAGTAAACAGCATTTTAACTGTTAGACAAGCGCAGCATCATATGATAGTCATTATTCATTTTCATCAAACAGGGGTAGCTTACGTGCCTAGACTCGCTACCCAATATTCAGCCCGATGTGAGAGAGCTATACCAATATCTATTTCACACAAGAAATAAGTCCGTATTTTCTTCGGTTATATTAAGAATAATAACACGTTTTTGTTCCGTAGGTAAACGGCATCGTCATTCGGTTGTGTTCCTGTTTTACTTCGTACTCCAGTCTATTCGAAAATTTCGTTGACGACAGATCCATGATACACACTAGATGCTTATTTTCTTTCATGCCCCTCACATTAGCTCGCGTAGTACTTGATACCTGTCTCACTCTCGCTTTGTCTGCCTTTAAGTTTTTCTGCGAGAACACAATCACTCCCTGCATCCTGTTCGCTCCTACTTTAGACTTTTTATTTCGTGACTACCTTCAATCACCGGAACTTCTATAACCTCTTGTTTCTAGACAGGCCTGACTTTTTTCTGACGCTTCATTCCGCAGTCGTACACAACCAACTTTGCAACCGATTCTTTCCGCGTGATCGCCCATCCATCAAATATTTTATTTGTCTTAATACGATTAGTCAGTTGAATAATTCGGCGTCAAAAATTTGATGGGGCCAGAAAGTGTTTCCGCCGTTTGCCTCTATGAGCTGCGCGTGTGCCACCTTAAGGAAGCATTTGCTTAGCATACATCAATATTTACTCACAAGGAGTTATCAAAGGAAAGACCAAATTTTACGACATACCGGCGGAAAGTGCACTGTCTCGACAAATGCCAGACCCCAGATTTCGATATATCTAGCTATATGAAAAATGCCACTGTCATCAATAAGAGGATCACATCAAGAAAACTAAGTTTTGAATGCGAGGCATTTGATGCCTTGCTTGTGCAGCTTGTCTGCCCTTGTCTCTTTACTGCATTGCTCGCAACGGCATCGCCCAAAACCTCCTGCACCTAATTGAGTCTCCCCATTGGAAATGTTTGACGAATCATGTTGTACGGTACATCATATTTTCAACTACTAGAAAGTTTCGTCTTTCTCTCATAAAAAATATACTTTATCCCCTTTACTTATTATATCGTATACAATCGTCTTATACGCTACTCATAGGGACTAACTGCACGCACTATCTGCCCCCCATTTTACCAACAAAAAAAAACCTAACCTGCGCACTGCAAAACTGCGAAAGCTGTTTTGGACGGTCCCTGTATTATTATCGCTTTCAAACAATGACGCATTAGCTATGTTATTAGTAAAGCACGCTGAACGATCCTAGTAGGAAAACAACTTAAATAACGCCTGCATTGTTTGTATACTTATTGCTATATCATTCAGAATAACGATGCTTCGTAGGGTTTTTCTTCACTGTCAGTTTGTCTACTTGCCATATTGCCAGTTGCTATTGTACGAGGCCTATGAGGGTAGTCTGTTAAACAATAATATATAATGTTAATTTGTAGTGTTCGCAGGCGACAATTATAGAATTACGAGAAACGTACAGCATATAGATCATAGATGTCGTGGCTTTCCTTAAGCAGCACTCATTTGATTCATGTGTATCATTTTGAAAAGATATTCCAAGTTAGCTACCTAGCCGATAGTTACCTTACATGATTATTATAGGTCATAGGACGTCACGTTAGCCTTTAATTGTTTAGTAAAACAAAATAAAATTATTCTACAGTAGTCAGTTACCGAATCATTCGATCCATTCATATTATAATAGTAATCATAATAATTAAATGTCACAATCGATCATAAACATCTGCAGCCAACCATGCGTTTTCAGCCGGGTGTCTCACATCACATCTGCTTTGCTATACACACATACAGAACCACGCTCTCATTCTAAGTAAATATATATAATATGCTCAACGATTCTAACACGCTGATAGCGCAAGGCGCAGCATACGCATATTCTGGGACTAGTGGTAATAGACGAAAAGGGATCTCTGTTTAGTGGCTTTCAACGAGGCGTGCATTTCCTGGAGGAACCGTAGCTTTAGGTTCACCTCCTCTATATCATTTTAAGTTTTTCTTATATACCACAGTTATGATGAATATTATTATTAATAATATTATGTTATCATCATCATCGTCATTGCGACCAACATCATCCTCAACAGTAGTACTATATCTGCATCAACACAGATCAGTTCTCTATATCTTGCATCATCTCGTCATAAATCATTTTTTTTTATTTTCTCTTTTTTCTTTCCCTCGTAAATGAGGTCGTCGTCCTCGTCACCGCCGTCAGCATCGCCATCATTGAGTGCAGCAATATCTGCTTGTTTCTGGTGTGTATGTGTGTTTGTGTATTGTTGTTAATTTGTTCTTTTGCCTATCTGTGTAGCACTGCGCTCCCATATCTGCTGATAATGGCTCCTATCGTTAAGGCTAGTTAATCGGCCCGTCTTTCGTGATGTTGATAGCGCACACAAGGTTTCTATCTCATCTTTGTCCGCTATGCTAACGCTACTAGTGCTGCTAAGACTGTTCAAAATGCTGTGAAACGTCGGTCATATTTGTATACTATGCAAGGCTATTTGTCTAAGTGTGTGCGCGTATCTGTATTTGATGATTTTTATGTACGCATATATAAAGTATTGTATCCGTCCTTATTTTCTTATTTAGTTACTCGCATGTTGTCTCTACTGGGGACGGGATTCTTGGTAGGCTGAAGCATAACGGCAGCGTCACAACTGATTGTGAAAAGGATGGTTTACTCAGGCGGTCTTTTCTCAGCGTACTTCTTAGTGAAGTCTTCGGCATTCTTCATGAACTTTTTACGATCCTTGGTAAATTCCTCGGCGAGATCAGTGCGCATCGGATGTTCCGGCTCAGGTTCGGCAACGAGCGTAGCCAATTCTTGCAGAACCTAAACAGAACAAATTACGTCAGTACAATGCTCGAAATTTTAATAAATACAGGCATAGCCTACAATTTTTTCAAGATCTAAAGTAAGGGTACATTAAGTGTTATTTAACTTACCCGTTCGACCTTTGTGGCAGGTTTCCACTTCTCAGGAAGGATAATAGGCAGACATACGGAACCCTCTGCATCTACATTTGGATGGTAAATCTTGGTGAGAAACATCAACCTTGGCGGTTTGAACGGAAACTCTGGCGGGAACTGGACTTCCACTCGAAATGCCCCTAAACGCATCACATAATACGCCGTTTAATTATATCTCATATGTATTCGACCCCACGAGCAGTAGAAATCTAAGGTCAAAACAGGATAATATAAACAGATCTCTAGAAAGGTTTACTTCTACCATTTCTCTAGATAAACGTAAGCAGTCTTTGGAAGTGTGATCGAGGACCTCGTTATTTTACATACCGCTACAGTAGTTACAGAGGTATGTTTCTAAATTCAAAAATCTCATTCAGTAAAACTTATCGTCAGATTTAAAAGCAAAGGAAGGACTTTTTTAGTTTCGTTCGATATGTATGTCAATAAGATACATAAACGAATGGACTTATATATTAAGACAATTTCAAGAAGAGCGAAGTGCAGTTTGTTGCCGAGAAATCTGTATATAGTAGCTATTGCACTAGGCTACCTTGCTTGAGTACGTCTGTTTTCTGTTTTTTTTTTCACATATAACCCCTACGCCATGACAGCTTTTGCATAATGCTTAACTGCTATCACAAACCTTGACGGTAACCTCAGCCTACTTTCCTATCGATCCGTATCGGCAGTCTATGACCTACATTGGCCGTCTACCAATACAACCCCAACCACTTCATGTGGTAATCGTCGCCCGAGGGCCGATTACATTTTACCGTCGAAACTCCAAGGTCACTTTGTCGCTCTCTGTCCATAAATTTATATATATATATATATATTGATAGCAAAAGTGATGTCAACACAACGCAAAACATTACTCCTGAGTACGAAGCGCCAACGAGTATTGTATGTCTGAGTAAACTATACACTAGACGCCCAGTTTGAATAGGAAAACTTCGAAATCCTTGCCACATACATTAGCCGCGTAAAGTAATCATGCTATTAATCGAAATGACAATTGATCAATTACAGTCAATAATTATGAGTTCTCATCTGTTATCATTCGATCTGCAAAGAATAGTGATTAAAACTATTAAACTATAAGTTCTTTTAGGCAAATTTTACCAACTAATTAGACAAAAAATGGGCCAAACCGATACATTTACCTTTGTTGTAGGGAGGATTTTCAGGCACAATGAGAAGGTTCCAGAGTAAAATATTTTCGTCGGACACCTGAATATCACGTACAACCCTCATTGGAGAGCTCCGCAAATCGGCGAGCTCCTAAAATTGTAATGATATTATTTTACCTTTTTGTGGCGTAACGTCATCTTAGACTAAGACATCAGTTTTCACTTTCATAAAGAATTTCCATGCTTAGATTTACACTACAGTAGCTAAGTGCTACAAATGTTTTTATGTTAACTGCCCTACATTCATATTGTCGTTTGATAATTCTTTGTTAATTTTGTAAGTTGTACCCAAGTGTATAAATATCCAACGAATCGTGCGATAAATATTGCATTTTGGGCCTTAATATAAATGCGTTCTAGAATAAGCTCAAGATAATACGTGCGGTTGAACCAATATTTAATCCTATCCTTTGGCTCATCATATATTTAAGTACTTCAAAGTTGGCTAATGTGAATGAATCACGATGATATTCTGGCTGCATCATTACACTTTTGAGGAAATTCGGTGACTGACAAGATACGAGGTAAAACTATCGCACTTGATTAAACTAATAATTATACTAACTTCCATTCTGTCACAAGCGAATCCGCCGGACTCCGAGACTGAATGAAGTTCTAAGCTCATTGGATTAGAACTATCTTTTCCTTCTTCCTTATTTCTTAATATATGTTTAAGATACTCTTTATTTTTTTTTTTTATAAACTCTTCCCATCAATCTGACAGTTTCTGGACAGACCTAACATTTGTATGCTCATATGTAATTTCTCTATTTATGGCTTCTCAAAGTAAATCTACAGTGATATATGGTTGCCCACCAGTTGCCTTCTTAGGGTATGGAAAGCTTCTTGATAATACGGGCTTAGTTTAGAAAAATAAGCAGGCTAAAGCCAACATTAAATTTGCCTAATTCTGGAAGTAATTAATGCATGGCAATAAGGTCTGGCATTGTCATCAAAAAACCAGACTGTGGTTTCAATTTACGCTTTGAACGTCATGTTTATGGTCCGTGAGTTTCTTGAGAAACTTGAAATAACGGACTGTATTCATTGTTTCATTTTTGGCGAGTGTCTCATAATAACAGATGCCCCTGATGTCCATTGCAAGTACTATTATTACCTTACGCCTGAACCACTCAATCGAACTTGGTTCCTCTTTATGGCGATGTCATTTTTTTGCCTGGTCGCCTTCAGGCTGGCGGTAGAGATTGAGCTATGCCTTGTGCATGGCAAGCGTACGCTCCAGGCGGATTTGTGCTTAATTAAAAGTTCACAAATTGCGGGTTGAATATACCGCACGCATTTTCAACATGCCTGGAGTAAATTCACGGGTAAGCCATTTTCAGTATTTCGTTACATGTGAATTACCAGTTTTGCCCAACAGAGCTCTTAAATTTCTTAAATTAAACTCTGCTTCCGTGAAAAGCCACCTCGATCGCGGCATATTTTTCAGATTATTATATCTGGTCACTTCCTTGCTGTAGACCACCGTTTTTATTCTATTCACACCTTCCTATCGTTTAAAGTCTTTCTGCTTAATACCTTCTCCAATCTAGAATGAATTTTTATAACGCTGTGACCTTCAGAGGAATAACAACTTCACCACTGGGTGTTCATTTTCCAGACTAAAAGATGTTTTTCCCTCAGAATTTTGTTTGCCTAGGGTACAATCAAGCAGTATTCATTTAAAGCTTTCTAGAAATATTTGCAGGTCACATATTATTTGCTATCGACGGGTAGTTTAAAGGCCACCGAATTCGCTTGTAACGGCCTAATATAAATCGCACACTGCTATCATGACCATCACGATACTTCAATAAGGTATCGTTACATAATGATTAACTTAACTAATATTTACCAATATCTAGTAAAAGATAATATACTACAAAGCTTTGCAGATGTAATGATAAAAACAGGGAACTTAGCATTAAATTCAAAATGACTCAGCCAACTATAACTTCTAAAGATAATCATTGAATTTTAATAAATCTTTTTCGACTGATTTCAGTATAGCACAGAACGAATATCCATTAGACTAAAGCACCTGCCAAACCCCACCTGGCCGAACATACACGATATTCATGCACTATATAGTACAAAACAAAATCAAGCTGCACATTCCAATTTTCGAAATTATACTATAGAGCTGGATGAAAAAACGTCAACAACATGGCTCGATTAAACATTTCTTTATAACAGTATTTGTTTTTCTTAACAAAATGGAAGCGCCTGTTGAAGCGATACACTCTATTCCAGTCATTTTATGATGCTTGCAATGAGGTTAAGAGGATTTACTATTAATTACCCGCCCGAGTCGGCGTGCTGCTGCCATTACAAGAACGACGGGGAACCCGTTTTATAAACGGGCGACCTTCTGAACAGTCGACAAAGCCCGAACGTACACTACGTCACGTACAGTCTGATACACGAGATCCAACACTCTTTGTTCAGGTCGTCTCGTCTCTTTCCGGCACTCTCTGTCCTCCTACTTAGCTTCCGATTTCGCAGCACACCTGATAGACGGGTTTACATCACAATGAACAATTTAGTAGGGAGCACAGTAGAAAATTGCTGGAATAACAACAGACACATATATTCACGCACAATTATTATTCTGAAAGTGCTAATCGAAAAGTCTATTTGAGAGGACTAAAGGTTGTGAAACTCGTTTACTCAAAACAATTCTAATCTCGGCTCGAGCTGTTGCCGTGGGCTGTAGCTGTTGCGATTCCTTTAGCATCCCAAGCTTGGTCTGACGCACAGAGTGGATGCTACCTAAATGCGCAAAATAGTCACGAATTACGATAAGGTAATATCCCGAACGCCCATAGGATTGACCTGTGTGTGATACTGCACCACGAACGCAGAGACCAGGCTCCAGGTCAACCGGGACTGCTCTAGCTTCTCTAGATTCAACGATCCTATTCGGCTACTGCACATAATCGGTTTTGCCAATAGTCAAATCGAGCAGCACAATCACGAAAAATTACCTTCCACAAAGAGTAAAGGGCCACCACCTCCGGATGTGAGTACCCGCTCTCTCATCACAGTCAAAGCAACTGTCAGCGGCCGCTAGAATTTTTGGGCGCACCATTTTAAAATTGGCGCTCACAATGACTTGAAACTTACTTTGAACTACGTTTTGTCAGGTGTCGCCCGAAACCATCGATTTGAAGTTGAGGTGACATTTGTCTATAAAGAAATCATGTGTTATATTGTGTTGGAAGCCTTTGTGAGAAAGATCGCTTAGAATCACCCTCTACATCACTTATTTCAAAGCGGCCCGTTTCTACATCTAGTTCCGTTTTTTTGCAACAATTCTGGTCAAGATCTTATATCTCCGGTGTGCTATAGTTACGTGCTGCAACCGGCCAATGTGTTATATGATGCGGATAGAAGATTTAGAAACATGCTCATAATTATACGTATCTCATGTCGTTTAAACCACCTTGGTCACCTATAGTAATCTCTAAAACGTATTACTTTCTATTGAGATGCCTATTAGCCAGTGTTAGAAAAAAAGGGTCACCAATTGGCTAAAGTGCCAGTACTTTTTATAAAGACGAAAACGCAATTAAAGAAATTTATGCTAGCATGAAGTTTTGCGAGGTGATTTTATGGGTGATGTGTCAAGTAATTTTATCGGTTTAGATATAAATTTTTTTCATTTAATCTATTACTACATGGTCTTACCCTGAAGGTTAGATGGACTTTAATCGGTAGTTGAGTAGACGGGTGGCCGATCTCATTGTAGTTGTATCGCAATAACGGGCGGATTTCAGTTCTCAGCGAATGTTGATGTTTTGGGGAGTTAGTTGCAGCGATTGATGTTTGAACAATTACGTGCACTGCAGTGCAGACACAACGTTACTTCTACCAAAATAACTATTGTCAACTTGAGATTAATTTAGGGGAGGCATTTCCGGTTTTGGTTCAAGTGTTCGTGAACAATAATAATTGGTTTTACGGTTCCAGCGTGCGTTGTTGTGCCTCTTAGCCCCTTTTTCTTTTGCTGATGTTTTTACACTATGTATCGATAACGCAAGACTATTTTATATGGCAATTTTCTTACTGTTGTGGGATTTACTGCTTAGCAGTTTCTACACCGAGACCCCTCGAATAAAGCAGAGAAAGCTTAGTTAAAAAGATATAATGTACACGGAGGGATACCTATACATTTAATTCATTGATATTAAGTAGTGCTTGCTTTACAGCTTAACGATTTGTACTGGATTGTACATAACTTTAGGTTCGAACCTGGTGTAGGCGGACTCCATTTCGTGCTGGAAACCAGCTGATGGATGATGAAACTTGAAAGACTGAGATTATGCATAACTAATAAAAAAAATATACGACTAAATTTTAATCATGTGCTGTATTGGTAGGCGCGTCTTATGGAAATTGCACTACTGCATATAGTGTTACAATTTATATTAAATGACTGGACCGCAACGTAAAACATTCAACCGTGTTAGCTCTTTTGCATTATCAATTCCCCTGCTGATAATAATATACCTCCATACAGTACGATGGCATTTAAGGGCACCGTTTTTTAACCAGTAATACAAGATAGTATGTTTGGTTAGGAAGCGATGATCCGAAATATCATTACCGCCTTGCATACGCAAAAGATACTACCGTTTGATAGGTTTCTCTAATGACTCAAATTGAGAATGCTTAAATTTCCCACAAGCCGCTGGCATTTTTTTAAATTTTAATTAAATTTTATTTAAATTAAATTTAAATTAAATTTTTCATTAAGACCTTTTCCCTAAAAATTAATAGATTTGATTGCTTTGTAACCTTTGGTACGTGTAGATCATTTATACCATATACTGTATTCAGCATAAGGTTATAAAAGCACTGTTCTAAGGCTTAACGTTATTATTAGATGCTGTATTATTTGTACCATCAGACAGCGCTTCAAAATCTCTTGTGTAGTTGGATCCATATATATTTTTTAAATAAGCAATTTTTATTTCATATAAGCAGGGGCTGCCGCATCGCATGCGTTCAATATTTTGAGTTCCTTGTTTTCTTTAGTGGGGCTTTACCGTAGTACGTTTATTCAAATAAGGTTTAGTAATTATGCAGTCATTGCTAATTATAACTTATTAATGATATTGAGTGATCAAACCTAGCTATTGAACCGAATAGTTTTTTTTGTAATGTTGTTGCATACAATAAAGAATTTTACATTATAATCTTCACTTCTCGTACTAAAGGCATATAACCAATCCCGTATTAATAATTCGAATAACGCAACCTAATTGATCTAAATCAACGTTATTCCTCATATATTGCTAATTGTTTTCTATTTAATCCACCACGTTAAAGTACGATAAAGAGTCTGAGTGATGTTTTCCGTTGGCAAGCAGTGTTATACCTATACAAATGTTTTTTTTTCTTGGTAAATGGAGAATATACCGAAGATCCATTTTGTGACACAAAGCCAGATTAATATACTCTTGAATTAGTCTATTCGAATCAAAAACTTTTCATGCATTGCATGTGGCAGTTGCTCTTGGTACTCGAGGTTCTTTTCCTCGACAGCGCATATTGTCTCACTTGGCACTACTGTACATACATTCAGAGAACAATATATAGAAAACAACTAACTCAAAAAAAACATGAGAGGAGCTCCTCTCCGATAGAACTTTATTTTTTTCACCGTGTTCATTGCTGCCTTAGCAGCTCGACGGCGCTGAGGATTTATCACCGAATGGTAACAGCCATTTTCACAAAAATAGTGGTCGTCGCCATCTCATGGTGAACCGTCCTCCATGTCGTTGATCGTCGACCATGCGAATCACGCGGGCGACGGCGTTAACGGCAAACAATGATTTAGTCAAAGAGACCGAATCCCATGTCCTCGTCCTCTTCCTCCTCCTCCTCTTCCTTCTTATCCTCCTTCTTTTCTGCCTCGGCGCTGGCGGCGGGGGCCGCGGCTGCCCCACCAGCAGCGGGGGCACTACCGCCCGCAGGTACCGAGGCGAGTTTTTCTGATCCTTCTCTGATCAGTTCCTGTATGTCCTTGCCATTCATTTCACTGACAACCTAATACAAAAACCAATGGAACAAGGGAAGTTAAAAAAATGCACAGCGTATGTTACTAAAGATCTTGAGTGTTTGGGCAAAAATTATTCTATACGATAGACAACAATTAATATAGGACAGCAAACATTGAACATGATGTTCGCCCACGCTGATTTTTATCCGATAGATACAACACTTTTTTTTTTAACATATTGGTAGCATTAAAATACGGTTGTCGTTGCAGGAAGCAAGCATTCATTAAGTTATGTGAGCGCTCCGTAAACCTAACACTCTAAAATACCGTAGAACTGATAATACGATAAATTATCGTATTATGCTAAGATTAATCTAGCGGTTAGTTACTATATTTGAAGGTAATTTTTCCCTTGTCCTTTTTTCGATTTCTTGGGTTTTTTTCTATATACTCGCGGCTATCCATTTCATTATTAATTACGGTATTTAGCAGTGAACCCCGGATTAGTGTAAGTTGCACTAATTCTTCTTAAAAATGAACGTGGTCATAATTATCATTTTATGAGTTCTCAAATAGACATGCGTACTACAGTGATCAAGTAACGCAAGCGTTGAGATAGTCGTGACCAACTGTGTATCCTGGAAATCGATGTCCTAAACTCAACGGGTATCGTGCATAAAGGCGTAGTCAGGCACTCCTGCTAATTTCGACCGTGAGGTTAGGTTTACTTTCGCAGCATCGTACAACCAACAGACTCTGATGGAGCGCTTTGGGTGTCAAAGATGTGCAATGCGGTTATTTTTGGAAAAGACATTTAAGTGCTTACTAAACACGAACACAGTCTAACACCATCCACAATTTTCATGCCATGAAGCAGATCGCTATAATGTCCCAACAGTATGATAGCTCACCTGTCATACACAATGACAAGTCAAAAACTACGACGATAGTTACCTTTTTGAGCTTGTCCTTGTCGACCTCGATACCCACAGAGGACAGAATTTTTTCGATATCAGCAGCGCTGGGGTTCGCATTACCCCCGAGACCGGCGAGCAGGTAGGCGGCGACGTAACGCATCTTCAAAGTAATCGATGAACATCATCGCGATGTTATTTATGAAAATTTTTATTATTGGCGATTGCCTAAATACGAAGGATCGTTTCAGAATATCAAACTGCTATTCAAACTTACTCAAAATGTCTTGATGGATAAACTTTTTGTATTAAAATTTGTGTTCACGTAGGTCAAGCCTGGTTGATTAAGCATGTACTTGTCTACCCGTGTTGCAACCTAGACTTACACAGCAACATGATTCCGCTCCTAGAGCTAACGATAATGTACACACGCAGTAAAATATCAGGTGTTCGATTTTTCCCTAGCACCGTCTGATTGTTAATCATGCGGCAGAAGCATAATTGCTAGGCCGAAAAACATCAATACTGTCTGCACAAAGGTGTAAAAAATTACACTCGGCCAACAATTCCCTGGCAAAGCACTTTAGTGTGGCGCCAAAAAACGCCGATATGAACGATATTTGCCGATTGCAGAGACTGTCGTCGGCATCAAGATATTTCTGGCATTTATCCGATTGTTCTTCAGCAATCTCTTACAGGTAACCTACATCCGTACGGTTGGCGCAAAATGGCATCTGTGCATTAGTTATTTAATACGTTATTTTTAAAGAAAATCGGTCTTACCACGTGGCCAGCCTTCATAGCTACATGACTACAATTCAATATGATTATAAAATAGACAAGTCAAACATCTAACGTTGAGAAAAATTCCCAGTGAAAATGCACCACACACTGCTTGAGTCTCATAGGGAATTCACCAATGCACAAATATCGGTAAATTTTTTATAATTTAACGACTTACTTTTAAGTCGGATACGACACGAAACGCGACCGCACAAAGGTAACAAGCAAAGAGGCCGAGAAATCGAAACTACTCACCCAAAGCTAGCTCTGCAGACTAACCCGAAAAGGAAGTTCAGCAAAGGCGCGCCATATTGCTCTTCACTCAAAAAGTGCGTAAGTTTAATTTTTTTTTATAGCAACCAAGAAGGTGCTACTTACACTTTTTAGCTGTGTGCAGTGAAAGAAAACTTTTGTTTCAAGATTATCTGGAAAAAGGCAAGTTTCGCTTCCGGAAAAATTGACCGTAGATTTGAAAGAAAAGTATGGCACATATAGTGCGGATATTTTTTTTAATTTTATACTTACTCCCATAATGTTATTTAGTAGAGTTAAGTTTTTTTTTTATATAAACCGTGTTGATTTCTTAGTAAAAGCTTTGATGCAGATCGTTTTAATTTGAGTAAATGGATATAAGAAATTACTTTCTTTATTTACACAAACTGTATAGAAAAATATAAGGTAACTTAAAACGCGAAAAGATATTTGCGTATTTGTTGAAATATTTGTTGTGAATATGCAATAGTGCCAGATTACGACTGAATGCGGCGAAAGTGCCTCTAATGCCCCTTCAGTGGAAAAAAGCGTCCGACGTCTTATTACTGACATAGAACGGTGTGATAAAGCATTAGAGGTTTACACCTCATCAATGGCCCTGCTATTGCCTGTCCGGTCTTTTTTGTGGCCTTTGACAACAGACACACAATATTTCGCAAACGATTACATAATTTTGGGAATATGAAAATTCTATGCGTATTAGAAAGAATCGATTTAACTGCAGGCGTTTCAGTTTCAAAAGCCGCTTCTACTATGTGTAGTTTGTAAATCATTATTTATTCAAGTTAAATATGCATTTGTGCCTGATTTGCCCGCTAAATAGCTTACATGTATGAACAATGGTAAGTAAATCTTTGTTTAATTCAAATAAGCTGTAATTTCAGGCAGTCGACAAATATCTTGTGAATATTTAGCTTATTAGACGAGATTAAATGCTACACTAAGATGCTTTGTTCCGTTCGCCATTCAAATACGTCAGAGTGCAAAACAATCACAAAAAAACTTACCAAAACAATGTCTTGAAAGACCCATACAATGTAGACTATTGATTATGTCATTCCCATTATTTTCCTTGTTGAATCTCTATAAACGATCTATGAGAATGTCAGAGATTACCGGTTCACAGCCAGCAAGCCTCAGTTATTAAGCTATCAACGAACTGCTTAGTAAATGGCAGAGTAGCAGAACTTATTAAAATAGAAATTTCACGGCCGTTTTTCCTTTTATAAATCGGTATCAAATTCAGTTAAATGCAAAGACGTCTTACGTAGCATGCCGTCTTATTCAGTGTTATTCTCTACTGTTAGAACGTCACAAGGAACGCATGACTTTGTTGGAAGATCCGGAAAATAGCAGTTCGGCAATTTTAGCCTTAATCTATCTATTCATGTGAAATAGACAGATACATGCCACGAGCAGTATTTCGCCGTATTTCCGTGGCGCGATTTCTTTTTTAATTCATATCATTACTAAATTTACCTGATTTCATTGCGTTAATATCTTTGCGAGTACTCTCTGATTCTAAATATACAGGTATTATAAGGCGAGACTACCAGACGAAATTAATATAATAATAAATAAATAAATAAAAATTAATAAAAAAATGATAAAATAGTATAAATGTCTTGCATTAGATTACAACGATTGATTTAGGGGCGCAGGTTCACCGTTTGTCATTTGTCTTTATTTAATAGCTTTAGTTTAGAAAATGGGTCCCATCAGTTGTTTCAACCAAAATGCGACTCCGTCTTGCTTCAACGTTCCGCAACCTTTAGAAGTTATTGCTCCAACCATCAACTCTTTTGCCCGCTAAATTGACTTACCTTCACGTTGTGAATTCATTTATAATTTATTTCAAGTGATTAGTGTGTGGCCGTCTGCAATGGTCTATTGTTGTACGTATTTTTGGTCTGTGTTTAAAAATTTGTAGACCCAAACACAGCTTGCTCATAAAAATCACTGCCCTGAGTGTTCTATTGGAATTTTCTTCCGACATGTCCTCCAAGAGCCAAGTGTAACTGAGCGTAAACGCTTTGTTCAACCGTACATTTCTATTCAGCTTCAAACGTAAATCTCATATGATTCTACAGACAACGTTTTAAATCTCTGACCCCTTTTTCTAATGTATGTTGCGATATATACATCTTAAGCCCACAGAGTAACATTACTTCCTGCGAGCCACCTTTAAAAGTACCATACCTCCAGTCAACATTTTTCAAACTTCTCACGAAGTATTTTTTTCTTAAATGGACGCAGTCTAGTTAGGCTTTTTGGTGTTTCTTCCATATAATCTTCTAGAGGGTGGTAAATTAGTCGCTTCGTTTATACACCGATGTATCAGTGTAAACGACAAAGAAGCTAATCCTGTTTGTTGAGAGCTGTCATAAAATTTCTAACGGGGTTCAATGCTAGCAAAACTGTTATGATCTTATGCAAGGCATATGAAAAGTTCAACTTAATTTAAGAAAGTTTTTTAATCGGGATGAAAGTTGACTTAGATAAACAAAATGCGGGGTTCATATGATGGGCAGGGACAACCCATATGGATGCTAATCTAACGATTCGTGGGCAACTTATACAACGAAAGTACTAATGCTTTGCCGCAGAGGCCGCGCACTATCAGCAAAGCGACCCCTAACAGACAAAATAAGTGAGCGTAAAATGCCTCATTAGATTGTGAGGCCGAGACGGCGTGTACTCAGAATCCATATGATGATAACATAATTGAGACAAAAACCATTCAGTTGTTGTATTTCAATGAAACCCAAATACAAGACACCATGCAACTCTTCGATAAGGGAAATATATCTTCTGCAAGCATTTGGCCCCATGTAGGCGAAAAATGGTGTGAAACTTAAGGCCTGTTTAATATGCAACTCTTTGCTCTGTGTAGATAGATATTAAAATTTAGCATGTGTAAGCGCCTATACTGTGACCACCTTTTTTAAAGCTCTCCTTGTTTGTCCTAAATAATTTAGGACTGTAGCATCTTCGCTTATGTGAGTGAAGCGATTATATAACAGATAACCTGGTCTGTGGTTTTATTCATCTCTTCATTCTGATTGTTATTTTAAATTTCGGCAAAGAGAAATACCGGTAAATAGATATAGAGGTAACTTTTCGGCTTGTTATTCTCATAATTCAAAGTTCCTGTGCAGTTGGCACATAAACACTTATACCACACCATATGTATTGTTGTCAAAACTTACCGAATACATTGAGAATTACTATGAAGCATGTTTACCGTTAGGAATTTATGTCTCAAACGAAACAAGTCTCCCTGTCTTTCTTTCCTTTTTTCCAGTGAAATCTGTACTTCGAATAGGCCATATTTTGCAAGGAGAATGTTGCCCAATCGGTAAAACGAATCAATAGAAGTCAATATCTGAGTACGGTGCCCTTCACTTACTGGGATTCTTTACACTTGTATTATGACGAGCTGAAGTAGGTTCAATTAGGACGGATTTCTACGCAGGTGATCTCTGTATTTCGCTACCACGGGCGCGTTTTTCCATTGGACTTGAAACCTACTGGCTCAAGACAAACGAGCCGAATTTACGACGCAGCCTGTCTGAACAAAACTCAGGTCAGCCACTTGGCACCAAGAAGCATAAACACGACTGAAACTAATATTCTATGTCTTTTTTTATGTATAGATTGGAGTATTGGACAGAAAGCCTTCACACTTTTATGCTGTAATTAACTTTAAGTAGATCATACATTTATGCTGTTATCCCCAAAAGGAGCTGTTGAAAACGCCGCAGTAGAGATCAATAGAGGAAACAGTAGAAGACAGACTTCAAGCCATTGATTTTAAATACAAATATTTCTTTGCGTTGTCACCAACTATATCTAAAATGTGCAACTAACAACGTCGTTTTGAGCCAGAATAAGCACATTAAAAACATAAACGACCCACAATATTTAGAAAATATGAAAAGGTAATTTAGTTTTCCCTGTTTTACATGATTTATTCCCGGTTCCACCGAATTTAGTTTCACCGAATACTAAGCTATCAGTCATTCATCATTTGCTGTCGATTTGTCGCTGGCTCAGAGCCGCGCCCGGTTGGATCGGAAAAGTCAACCCGCCACCGAGTCGCGTAAGCCGCAGTTTTGGCGGGTTAGCTGTTAAACCCTGCCGTAACAGACTACGTTGTGAGTGTCATCGAGTTGTATGGTGTCGCTTATTTTCGCCATCGTCTTATACTTTGTATCGGGGCTCGAGCGTATTCATGCGAGCCATAAGCTGTTAAGGGCTAGTCAGTCCGACCGGCTGTTAGTCTTGTGTGTCTGCACGTCACAACTGGCGGCGCCCCCCGCACCGCTGTCGCGTTCGGCGCGCTCAAAAGTTGCGCTGCTATTCATTTACAGCCAAGTCGCCAGCCAGCCGCCTGTCCGTTTCTCGCCGCCATCGCTATTAGTGGCGCTCTGCTCACTCACCCACTCGTTCGACTGTGGCGCCGGGTCCATTCACTGAATGCACCTCCCTCTGCCGTAGCCGGCTGCTGTAAGGCTGAACGTCTGCTCCCTGTCCGATGTGTGTCTTCGCTGTCGTTTAGGTCTCGGCCTGTAGCGTGTGTAGCTGGCTGATGAGCCGTCTCGTAGCCGGTTCTCGTTGCTGCTATTGCCGACCTGCAGAAGGGAAGGAAAACAGCTGCAGCAGCGACACACACAGATCGACAATACCGGCCGGAGCAGTCGCGTGCCGCCGACTAACTCTGCTGCATTGGCTCGTTGACTGACTGGTCGGCTGGTTGACTGGAACTGAGCCGTTGTGCGGAACGCTGCCTGCTCGCTCGTTTGCCCGGTGGCTAGCTCATTGACTCGAGAGCTACTAGCTGTTGCGCATGCTCATACTTGAAAGCGTCACTTAGTGCAACAATTATAACTGCTCGCACAACTAGTACTGCGATAACTAGTATCATTATCGACACGGCCACAGTAACGGCGACGGCAGCAGCAGTAGTCCCCCACTTTTATTTCTTCTCCCGGTCGTCGATACTGCAGCTGCCATTGCTACCTCTGATCGTGGTCGTCGTGCCGTCCTTCATTGCCACACCACTAGCATCAAGTAGCAGTAACGCTTATTGTCAATCTCCAGCGGTCAACGGCTGGTACTATTATTGTTGTTGTCATTGATGCTGCAATTGTTGCTGCCGTCGTCAGAGTAAGAGCAATAGAAGCTGCGGAGGAGTGAGTGATCAAAGCCAAAGTGAAGTACGAGTCTCTAACATACTTTATTAGAACTTCTGCTACGACGAAGTCGTGTGTATCAAATAGAAAGCCAGTGGCGGTTGTAATAGAGCAAAAAAATAACTTGGCCAAACTAGAACACCCTCTCAGCTGCGACTGTACTGACCGTTTTGTTCGTTTTACTTTCGCTGTGACTGCGGGTGTCCCAACGATTTCAAAATTTCGCCAATGACCTCCAGTTGCAGACGGCCACAAAGAAAACAGGAAAGAGAAGTTCTTAAAGTGTGCATTCGACAACTGTTGTTACCGTAAGAAGAGTGTCGCTATTGACTAACAACAAGGTTTCGTCAACGTCTTGTCGGCACAGAGAAACGCACGCTGTCCATTAAAACCTTTCTCCCCGGGTCCTATAGCAGCAGCAGCAGCAGCAGCAGCGATAGCGGCTACCTCTGTGCCCCCTTAGGGTCCGTGGCTTATGACGACCCGACGGGGCGTGGTGCCGCCGGCTTACTTCAGATCAGTTCGTCATATAGCAAACACAAATCCGGAACAATTACGTGTCTCGCCGACATACCAAACAAAAAATAACTGTGTACGAGTTAGATTTGTAGCAGTTACCGGGGTGCCGCGTGCCCATGATTTACTACGAGTGCCGTACAACCACAGCATACTAAAGGCTCCAGGTTTGATAGCAACAGCTACAGTAGCTCTGCTGTGTCCGTGCGTGTAGTGAGCGTGTTACCTTTGCCATATTTGTGTCTCTGTGCTCTATCTTTTTGTCTGTATTTTTACCTATAGCTTCACAAATAACACCGGCGGCGGCAAACTTAGATTTCGGTGCTGTATTCAGCAGAGCACGTTGTAGCTAACTTGACGGCGTCCGCGAAGGGCGGGTTCGGCTCCTCGTGCTAGCCTATAGTCGGAAGAACATTACCAATAGAAATTATAATAAAGCAGCAGCGAGTGCATAGCTGTTCTTTCCTATTGTCATCTCTTAGTAACGTCGCAGAAAGCGTGGAAGTGATTCGGTGCTTGGACAGATCCAGGTCGAATTAGGTTCAGAGAGATGGCAGACGAGTTAGCTATCCCCCAGCGGGGCGGGATCTCATCGCCTCATTGCGGCCTTAGCGGCAACGGAAACACTACAACTTCGGGTGCCACTTGTACGACGTCACTTAGCGTAGAAAGCGTACGGAAGTTGTTGGCTCCATTCATTGGCTTTGCGTGTACTGACGCTAGCAGTAATGGCGACAGCAACAACCCACAGCAACCGATTTGCCATCATAGCGACCCAGAATTATTCGCAGTCCCGCTCCGCCAAATGCCGGTCAGTCGTAGGGAGGTGCCCAAATATTTACTTCGAGGGGAAGTGATGGACTGGATCGTGCAACATGTCGATGATGCGTGAGTATACACAATCATTCAATGCGTAAAAGAGTGTAAATAGAGGCTTTGAAAATTAGTCGAATGGCAAATTTTCCAGAGATTGCAATTGGGACCTTTCCAGTACTGAAAGTGCATTTTTATACAGTGATAAGAGACAGGTGGTGGCCCTTGGGATTTTCGTATTTCAATGATCAGATGATTCTAGCAATCAGCAAATGACTAACAAATAATAACGAGTGCGATGCGTAATGTGACGTTTTTTGTTTATTGTGCTTCAATGATGAGCGGCGGCAAAGCGCTCGACGCAGTTTTTATTCTCTTAATAACTAAAGAGCGATATATACAGTGCAACGAACATTATTCTATGAACTATTGTGTATCAGACCAGCAATTGTTGTTACAATTAGAGCCATATTAGCTGAGTGTTGCGTTTTTATTCATACAGTGCTGTTTATAAGCAGTAACCAGTATTCGAATGCAGCGGCCGAGCTAACGACTCGGTCAGTGAAATGAGCATGGCCATACGCTTGCTGTCGCGCCAACTAGTCCTGCCGTGGCTACGTGAACGATATTTCTGTGTTGTTCATTGTTGTTGCTATCGATCATGACGCTGCATCATGCTGGCGACGAGGGCGATGTTTTTATTGCTAACGCTGATGGGCTCATTTAGGACGGTATGCACGTTTGTATGTATAAATTACACCCGTTGCGGGGCACACATTCTTGCACAACAGCATCAGCCAAAACGAACAATAAAAAGATGAGAGAATGCTTCGTATCTGATAGTTTTGCCGCGAACAAATCGGCTATAGGTTGTACCGATAATGTGATAGGATTTAACGGCGTCCTAGTATTTATATGGTTGGCCAACAGGAACTATACGCGACAGTGGTTAAAGCGTCCTCTCGATAAGAGAGTGTAGTTATTCACACGTTCCAATAAAGGAGAACACCCCACCCGACCGCGCTTCCACTCCTCAGCCACCAGCTGATTCCGTACGCCATTCGGCGGCGGCGGTGGTAGTAGTAGGACATACGCGTGTGTATGCATTAAGCGACGGGGAAAGACAAAACGTGTGAGAGCGAGAATGGACAAGAGAAGGCCACGGAGAAATGGCCTTTCTCGCCTGTTCCTCCAATGACTACCTGGCTAGCCAGGTGCCGGTTGGTTGTACACGGCAAAATTAAAACCAGGAGCAGACGGAACTGTCCCAAGCGTGCGATTGTTTCTATTGATTTTCATACGTGCGAGTATAATAGGCACGTTCGGGTCGCCGCTGTATGCTACCATCCGTCAGAATTTATCAACACTAACCATCGATTGGTATCTCAATCAACTGGCTAAAGTAATCAGTTTAGCATATAGCAGTCAATAAAAAAAAACAAGTTCTAATTAAGGAAAGCATTATTGCGTTGTTTCGATGACTTGCAAAACATTTTAAACTTTGTGTAAAAATTGTCATTAGCAATAACTATATATTTTGGGTTTGTTGTATCTGTTATTGTTCGAATGCAGGAAAGTCCCTTAGGTAGTTCAGCTATCCGTCTAAAATTGTCTGTGACCTTTTGCCAAACTTTGCATTATGACCTGTTACCCAAATCTGCTGCTTTAGGGGTGCCTACATACTACACTCATCCTGTATCTACTGTGTGGCGTGACGCGTTGTCGACAGGATCGAACGGTCTACCATTGCTACTTATTTGTAACGCAGAAAATACGTAGATCCATCGATAGACATACGAGATGGATCATGATTTTTGACTACGTAGTATATTTGTTATACAGACACATGCCCTTTAAACATCGTCAGAAACTTCATCTGTCAGTCGATTTGCTAACGCTTCAAAGCTCGGTATCCCTGTGTATTTAGTTGGACTAGATGAACCAAGCATGACTCAGCAATATGACATAACACTATATTACTGGTAAAAAAAATCGTTGATTCTTTTAGCATCCTTTGCTACTATTCCCTGGTTGGTACAAAACGTATTTGAGCCGTAAAGTAAATATTAAAGTTAAGTAAAATGCTGTCATTTAATATTTGTTATGCGCGACTTTAATTTCAACTTGTGTTACACGTAATGAGGACGACCCAGAACTAATATTCGGTGAGCCAATAAATCTCTCGTGTTCATGGTTGATGATGACTCACGTTGGGAATGTAACAGCATCTTGGGTAATGAGTCGTTCACGACCAGCCAGCCTATTATCATTTTTTAGTTTCTGATTCTGATACAACATTCATTTAATGATGATCTTCGCCGTGTCGATGACGATGCGCAGGCGGCGAGATATGCTAACAGTTGTACGTGCCAGTTAGACGGAATGAAACATAGTTTAAATCACACTACGTTTTTTACCTAGAGGTTACAATGTTAAGGATAAATTCAGTGTTATACCCAGTCAGATGAAAATACTATAACTAAACCAGTTTATGCCGTCAGCAATGTCGCCGGGTTGAATTTGAAATTGGCTAGTGGTACCGTGCTATGGATACATATACTCCACGCCTTAATCGCGAGAGTAAAAATAATTTTATTCTCAATACAGGATCTTTTGAAATTGACTCTCAGTGATCAGTCTTAGCAAGTCTGAAACGTACAACAGACACACACACACCTATCAGGCATGGCTTTTATGCCCAGTGGCGTTGAAGCTTTCGCGTAAATATGGTCGAATTAATTAACTTTCCTTAAAAAAGCCAGCAACCTCAAAGAATTTCAGAGTCTCATAGTCTATTTGAGAGCGCCACGACACAGCAATGGCGACCATGATATGCTGTTGAAGGTAATTGATAACGGTAGGTGAGCGATTTGTTGACCTGTCGTACACCGAATTTGCGAATGCAAAATGTGGGCGAGGAGAAGAGGGAAGAGGGTACTGGTACACAGCACGGAGCAGTAAAGTAATAAGGTAACCGCCGTCAAAACAGTCTTCCGTATGCTGAATCTTTCTAGAAGTTGAAGATGACGGACATACATATACTACAGCTTTACCCCGAAGTTGTTTTTGTCGAGGAATTGATGATTTACGTATCTACAGGACGACGTACCAAATCCAATGATTTAAAATATTTCGTTCTGATTTACGGCATTTGTTCTAGGCATACGGAGTGTTCAACCATTTATCTGTGTTACAGCTGGTTTGAGAATTTCGCAAGTATAAAATGTTATCACTCTATGACCGATATTTCTGACCGCAGGCCCAATTTCGTCTTAGCAGTTTAATTGTCGCATTCACGGTCGTCGGCATGACGGCTTCAGTAACAAAGGGATCTCGAAATATTGCTACCATTAACTGAAGTGTTATGTAACCCTGCCTTTTAAAGCGGTGTAGTCAAAATCTGCAATGCCATTGTACATCTTTATCAGCATACGTGACTGTTTCATTGAATGAAATATTGTTGTGAAGTGTCTGTATGTAGTTGTTGAAATGAAGTTTCAAATGCTTTTCGTGTGTTCTTCAGCTCGGGGCAAATCTGTTACGCATATTTAGCAAAAGACGTCCACGCCAACTTACCTCTTGCTGATGAAGTCGGCATTTCACGGACAGCGGATTCGTAACTTCAAAATGTTCCCAACGTCGGTTCAAACGTCTTCTGCTGAGTCGGAGAAATGACACAACTCTGTCTTGTGGCACACGTCACGCGCACATGTGGCGTGTGCTGGTGGCTTATTTAGTAAGTCGTGGCAAACCTCGATAACTAAGTTCTAGCAAATAGCATGCAAAAACCCAGTAAGAACATCGCTACCCTTGATTTGAACTCTGAACAAAAGTACTATATAGCTGAAAGAGATCGATCTGGGAATTATGCTGATTGACCATTGTTTACTGAACAGAGGCTTACCTCGGCAACTATTCTGCAGTCCTAGCTGCTAGAAGAGTTTCTAAAATAATAGGTCCAAATGAATGGCCGGTCCGACACTGACTGGTGAATTGGGTAAAGTGTGATTGACAGAGTGCATGCCTAGCTTCCTACAACTAGTTTTCGTATTGCGTTATAATGTGTGAGTGCTACTATAACTCGAAAATTTCGTTCATTAAGTCAAAATTGCTTTTGATATGCGAAGCTTTGTTCGTTTAACTTACGTAGGAAAAATTACTTTTTGTGTGAAGACTCTACAAGAGCCGCTTTGGTTCGGCTTATACTAAGTGTTATAAGCAGTTAACGTCATAAACAGCTTTTTTTATTGGCTCTTTCTGCGTCTTTTTTTTTTTAGTTTGTGAGTTTTCCTTTGGGCAGCTGCCGTCCAGGTGTTGTTTTCGTCTGTTGGTTTTTATGCTGCTGCCAGGGCTATGTTGTTTGCCTGCGTAGTTACTGACTGGGTTACTTGACTTGGTCGCTTTCGATATGAAGGAAAAGCGAAATTGAAGATCAGCCTGATGGTGCGGGATAGCGAGTGATAAAGTATATACTATTATGTCGTCAACGCGCTCTTGGTATAGTTGCCGCGTTGATCGTTCTAGTCGTATCTGTTCGTGTCTGTTTAGACCGCGATCGAGTTCTCTGCGTTTACCAACGTGTACTGTTCGATTCCATACATGCGAGCTAGATCAGTTCCAGGAGGGATCGCTATATTCTAGCGATGGCAGGCAGCCATTGTCGGCTTCTTTTCTTTCGTCGTCTTGCTCTACCCCCTCTTCGCAATGACGACGATGGTTACGGCGTCGACGAGTGCAGCCGCGCCATCAGGGCAGCCATCTTTGTCGGCGACAGCAAAAACTTGGCAGCAGCTCTTCCTAACTCCTTTTTTCCAGGGGTGGCAGTTGCTATAGTTGGCATAGTCATTGCCAAGGCAAGCAAATAACATCGGTCCGAGCGAGCGACAACAGCAACGCTCATTTTTGTCGTCCTGATCTTCTGCTTTTGTCCTCCGACTCGTTCACTTTCGGCGAGTGAGTAGTTGACTAGCGAAGCGACTGTTCTTCCGCTGCCGGTGTTCCCTTCTGTTGTCGTTGTTGCTTCGGTGCTAGTCTTTTTCCATAGATGGTACTACAGCTGCAGCAGCTGCTGCTGG